TTAGGACATCTCCTATATCATAATATATGTATTATACCTACCAGATGAAAATGGAAGCAAGTAAAACTATTTGGGAATGCAGCTTGGCCTGGCCAGATACGTTTTCCTACTGTCGTTTTAGTAAATAATTTTAGGGTTAGCAGAGCATTTCCTGACATTTTCAGTGATTAGGATTGTGTAGTGACATTATGCCAAAGTAGCCATCCGTCACAATTGTTGGAGGGACTGCTTATCAAAAGCCTGTTAGTTTGCTGGCTCTTAACTCTAATGCAGTTTCTTTCAGCAGAAACATCTTACTTAATTGTATTCAATATAGTTGCACTCCACCATCCCCCCAACTCCCCACTCTCAAGAAGGCGTAGTATGCATTCGTGTGCAACAAAAAAATTACCTTAGTAGAATGATCACTTTTCTAGTTAATGCTTTAACTCTCATTTCTTGCTTAAAATCTGAGACCAAACTAGGAAAGATTATAATTAAAATAAATCCGGGGCCTAATTATTTCAACATACTTTTCCTTATAAACTACTTTCTCTTGCCAAACTAACGTACTTTGTTCAAAACAGAGGTCACAATTTGTTCCTTTTGGGCTAAATTTGGCCTGTAGTTATACTTTGGCTCTCTTTAAATTTATATGTACGTGCGCACACGCACGCACATGAATGAGCTGACCACAAAAATCCAGATTTCTAGCTTCTTTTCAAAATGGCTGAGGGTCTGGCAGTACTGGGCCCAGTACTGGGAAACAGCAATTACCAGCTAAAACAGAGTTGCAGCAGCTGCAGTGTGCTTACCTATCTAGCCTCTGAAAATAGATTTTTTTAGTTGTGATTTAAACAACGCAGTTTTTCTTCGATTCAATAAAATATCCCCCTTGTTCCTGAGATGAAGACTTTCTAATCTTCTGATTTGTCTCCTATTTTCCTTTATTGATTTCCTACCCTTACAAGGAAAAAAATATAAAGCACATTTTAAAATTCTATCTAAAAAGATATGTAAGCTTTTTAAAGAGCTACTATCAGATGAAAAATCTTTAAACCATGTGCCCTGGCAAAAGAAAACTTTAAGTATGGAAATATTTTCAATTTTGGTAGCCTCATAAAATCAAATTAGGAAGAAAAATGCTTAATTGAAGTTCAGGAGCATGATAAAGAAATCAGTCTGCTTTCATCCTCAAATAATTATTCAGAGTCTCATCTCCAATTCTGCTCTTACTTGGGTATCCTGTGGGTAGAGGTCTGTGATAATAACTTTGGTTTCATTCTTGTTGTCAACCCTGATGATTGTAAAACTAGTTGGCCTAATTTCCCCCCTTTGGGATGCTTCTGATGGTGTACACTATTTCTGTTGGAAGATTCCTTCCTGCTCACAGAAAGACTTTCTTTCCCTCTATGGTTTTATAATAGCCTATGGGTAGTAGAATTGTACTGTAATGAACCATATGGTAAATACCTCAAAAAATGAGTTTAAACTTAAGAGTATGTGTGTACAAAATTTCTAAGAAAAAAATCCTTGTCCAAATTCTACAATGGCAAATATGATAATTTATTTGATAATCATTTAACATTTAATATGTGCCCACTGTGTCTGGGATCCTGGAAAAGATAACCCCACTACAATTCCTGCTTTGATGTAACTGATGATACATTAAATGGAAGTTTCAACATCACAAAGTATCTCCACGAAAGATATTTTATCATTAAAGATCTAGCATTTAGCAAGAGTCTCTACATTTTTGGAGAGCAATAGTAAGAATGTAAGAGACTAGAGACTATAAACAATTGAGGCTATTTCTTGTGTGAGCTGTAGCTCTCAAACTGAAGCACTGTTACGGGTTGAATTGTCTCTCCTAAAACATATGTTGAAGTCCTAAGCCCTAGTACCTCAAAATGCGATACTATTTGGAAATAGGGTCTTTAAGAAGGTAGTCAAGTTAAAATGAGGTCATCAGGGTTGGTTCTAATCCAATATGATTGGTGTCCTTATAAAAGGGGGAAGTTCAGAAATGGAGACAGATATGCAGAGGAGGAGGACAATGTGAAGACACATAAAGAGAATGTCATGTGAGGACACAGGACTGGAGTGATGCATCTACAAGCCAAGGAATGCTTGAGGCTACCAGAAGTTAGGAGAGAGGCACAGAACATCTCTAGTGCCTTCAGAGGGAGCATGACCCTGCCAACACCTTGATTTTGGACTTCTGGCCTCCGGAACTGTGAGACAATAAATTTCTGTTGTTTTTCAGCCACCCAGTTTATGGTACTTTGTTACAGAAGCTCTAGGAAACTAATAAAAGCACCTTTCCAGAACCGTACAGGTTCTTCTTCACATATAGGAGGGTCTTAGTGACTACCAATTCTTCCTTTATCTTTAATGTTTTGACATGGATTTGTATGCTCTTTCATAATATCTGAAAATCCTATCACTACTGATGTTTTGTAAATTAATATTCATTTAATGTTTGATCCATAATAATCTGAACAATGTCAATGACCCCTAATGTTCAAGTCAACACATTCTATTTTCAGGTGCCATAAAGATCAGCAAAAAATGTCCAAAGCAACAGTATTATAGAAAGGAAAGAGGAATTAATGGAAAAGATAATGAAGATAGGTAGTTTTGGGATTAAAAGAAATCATTTCACCTTTTTTTTTTAAAGCTATAAGGTTATCAGTAAATGTAACTCCTTTTATTTTTGAAACTAGTACAAATTGATCTTTCTATTCAATTCTATCAATGACCATTTTTTTTAGAGTTCTCAAATATGTTGGCTTAGTTTTTTATTCGTTTAAGTTTAGGGTCCAGTAATCACCTTTCCATCCAATTAGGAAACTTGGGTTTTTAAATTGCCCTAATATCGCCAACTGATAATGTATTTTCTTCATTTTACTCCCACATAACCGTGACTTCTATTTTCTTAGTTTCCGGCACAGTATCTGGAACATATGAAGTTCTCAGTAAGTACATCTTCAATGTAAAAGCCAAATATAAAACCAAATTTAGAAAATAAATACAAGCATTCATAGCCCAAGGGCAGATGGCTGGTATAATGTTTTCATAAAAGTATTTACTTGTGCCTCTAAAATTGACTCTTGGTGTTGATGATCCTCAACAAGCCACCCTATTGAAAAGCTCGACTTGCTCTGACATCTCTGACTAAGCAGTAATACTTTATCAGTTTGGTTATGCTTGTCTCATTTTCACCTCTTCCAAGTGCTTTGACTTAATCCTTTCTTTGTTCTCTAATCTGTCCCTTTTTCTTTTTCAATGACTGGCCAAAGGACTGGTATGGCAAGTAGGCTCCAAGATGGCCCCTGTGATCCTGGCCTCCTGGTCTTCACGCCCTTGTGTCATGCTCTCATCTTGAGTGTGGATGGGGCCTGTGACTTGCTTTTAACCAACACATGTCAAAAGTAACGGGATGTCACCTCCATGATTATGTTACCTAAGACTATGACCCCTGTCTTGCTAGCCAACTCTACTGACTCTCTCCCTTGCTGGCTCTGATGAAGGAAGCTGCCACATAGAAAGGCCCTTACCCAGAAGAAAACTGGTATCACTTTCTATCACAGCATAACAAATTACCATAAACTTAGTGGATTAAAACTACATATATTTATCATCTCACAGTTTTCATGGGTCAGGAGCTGAGGCACTGCTTAGCTGGGTCCTCTGCTCAGGGCCTCACAAGGCTGCAATCAAGTCATCAGCCAGGATAACGGTCTAATCTGAGGACTGGGTTCCTCTTCCAGGCTCACTGGTTGTTGGCAGAATTCAGTGCCATGCAGCTGCAGGATGGAGGCCCTCAGATCCTAGAGACTTCCCACCATTCCCTGGCACACGGCCCTCTCTATAACATGGCAGTTTGCTTCTTCAGGCCAACAGGAGACTATCTCTACTTCTTTGAACCACTCTGACTTCTTCCATCTCTGATTCCAGAGCCTCTTTGAAAGAACTCACCTGATTAGTGCAGGCCTACCTAGGATTACTTTCCTTTTGCTCAAATTTAGCTGATTAGGAATTTTAATTACATCTGCAAAATCCTTCACCTTTTCCATATAATGTAACCTAAGCGATGGAGTGATATGTCATCATGTTCACTGGTCCCACCCACACTCAAGGAGAAGGGATTATTCAGGGCAGGTACCAGCAGGTGGGAACTTTGGGGGCCATTTTAGAATTCTGCCTACCACAACTGGCATGTCTTAGTACTATTTGTGAGCTTACTTCCACTTAGCTCCTGTAGTTTAAATTTTGGCAAAGTATTTTTGCAATATTGTACCAGTGCTATAGTGGCAATAGTAAAAACTTTCATTGAATTTACTTTTAATAAAATTAGAATTCCACTAAATGTAATATTTAGAAGGCTATTTTGTACGATTTCAAAATCACATCTACTCTAGACTAACATCCTTACAACCCCTGGGCATGAAACACACAGATGGAGTTTCTTTTTCTTTGTTTAAATGGAGCAATGGTTGCTGTGATTGAAGAATAAAATGTTTTAGTCAGAAGCTAGAATGGGGAAAATGAAGGTATTATGTGCCATTAAATTAGTATGTGAGTGCATAGAAAAGCAATGTTTCTATCAGAGTAGACTTAACAGCTTTACCCTTCCTATTCTTTGTGGCAGAGCCTTGTGTGATGGAGCCAACCTTGGTTATCACTGCCAATGCTAGGGACGTCTGAAATGAGCAAGCCTGGCTGTGTCTGGTTCTCCTATGGTGATGATCTGTGGCATGGTCAAACACTCCAGATCATGCCATATAATCTGCAATGTTTTCATGCCAAATCACCTCCCTAAAAAAGGAGCGGGAAGTCAAGAAATTTCAACACAGTTTCCCCACAAAGATATACTGTGTACACAGCTGCACTGATATTTTCTTTACTCAGAGGTAAATGTATTTCGCATCTTTCAATATTTTGAAATAAGATTTTTTTGCCCCCATTTTGTCAACTGATAACTCCAAGTACCTCCAAATTTTATTCATATTCACCCATTTAAACAGTAGAACCGACCAGATATAGTTTATTAAAATATGTTCATCAAAACAATTTTGACTCAGTTTTTAAAAGTTGCAAATACATAAAAACTGTTAGTGTCATGAAATTGCAAATATTGTCTTCTGAAATTACAAAGAAGTAAAATTGTTTAGTAAAAGCTATGAAGTATCTTAATTTAACTTTCACATATAAAAATATATTTTTTTACTGCAACACTGAACAGTTAAGGCCACAACACTTGAAGGAAAGTTTGAGATACACATATTTTGAAATTGTTTGTCAAAAATATATTAGCATAAATAAATATCAAAACTGGTCGTAATATTCAAATCAAATAAAACATATTATTAACTTATATCTTTAAAAGTTTGTCAGAAACTTTCCTTCAGAAGTCATAATGTTTTTCAAGTATAAATTACAACATGCTTGGTACAATGTGCTTGGTGACCATGAAAACATAAATATATATTTAGAGTATTGTACAAGATTTTGATCTTCTTGCCCCATTTGGGGGTGAAGTATCCGGGTGATTTTGCCCCATGTCGTTCTGTTGGGCATCTTTGGTATTGGATTTAAAAGCTATTTGATCTCCTATTGGTTTTATCACTGGGAGTGGCTCATTATTATTCTGCATACTTTTCTGACACGTCAATGACATCCTTTTAAAGAAGAAAATCTAAAAAAAAAAAAACCACACACACAAACAATTCATTTCAGTAAGTGAAATATTCACTTAATAGTATTTAGGGGGTATAATTTCCAACAAGTCTTAACTTCATTTCATCACATCTTTATGGGGAACCACAAGTACAATGGTACATTCTTAGCATCTGTCAGCCTTTTATCTTTTACCAACAGCAATCATGATTCTTTCCTAAAACAAGATCTTTTAGGGTTTAATCTTCAACACTGTCACTGTCTTGGTAATATATCATCATTTTTTCTTCAAAGAACAAATTTAGTATTCCACTTTGTTGTGTTATAAGAGGAAAAAAGATGAAAACTACCATACTCTGGCAGAGGACAACATACTTCCCATTCCTCTACATCAAAACTTCTCAGGAAGTGCTGCCAAACGATGGCAGTGTGAACCCCAGGGGTCTCAGTAGGTAGCTGGATATATGGGTCTGCTGCTTTGGGGAGGCCAGGGCTGCAATAGGTAGAGTATAGATAATAGGTGAAGAGAAGAAAGGAGACCCCATAACCTAGGGATTCCAGGAGAGTGGAAGAGAGAACAGAAGACACGAGACTGAGGAAGAGGCAAGTGTGAGAGGCAGGCAGAGCATGGGAAGCCAGCATTGGGAACTGAGCTTTTAGAAACAAAATTGGGAAAAAGAGGCAGCTAGCTCAGAAGTCAGGGAAGAAAAATACATCAGGAAGGGAGTGGCCAACAGGGCACATGCAGGAGAGATCAAGGAAGATGATGACTAAAGAGTTCCATTTGCTTGTTTGTTTTGTTTTGTTTTGTTTTGTTTTGTTGAGGAAGATTAGCCCTGAGCTAACATCTGCTGCCAATCCTCCTCTTTTTGCTGAGGAAGACTGGCCCTGAGCTAACATCTGTGCCCATCTTCCTCTACTTTATATGTGGGACGCCTGCCACAGCATTGCTTGCCAAGCAGTGCCATGTCTGCACCCGGGATCTGAACCGGCGAACCCCAGGCCGCTGAAGTGGAACATGTGCACTTAACAGCTGTGCCAGGGGGCTGGCCCAAAAAAGTTCCATTTGATTTAAGCCCTCTGAGGATTCAGCCAGCAATAAAATAGGATTCTTAAAGACTGACAACGATTTTGACAAGATGCCAAAAACAAAAAACAGGTGAGAACTTGGCTCCTTCAGAAATCAAAATGGTACTAATAATAATAGTTTACCTTAATTTATCTTTAAAGAATGGAAGAATTGAGGTGAAAAGTTGTAACCGAAAAAGTCAGAGCCTAGAAAAACGGTCTATGGACTAAAATGGGAGAACTCTTGTTCCTGCTATTGTGGAGGAATACCTATCGTGAAAAACTCTGCCACTACAAAATATCAAGAAATGCTGAATAAGCGTAAAAACTATAATTTTATAATGTGTAGGTAAGCTCACAAAAAATGACAGGAAATCCCTGTGGGCCAAAAAAATGAAGAGGGAATAGGAAGCCTCAGAGGTGAGTGAGCACTGAAATGGCATTTATTGATGTCATAACTTAAACCCTTGGATTGTAACAGATTTGGTCTCATGACATGTGGAGAATTAGAACTGAGACCCCTATATCAAGTGGGGACCCTCTAAGGACTATGCCCTTAATGTAAGTCCACCTATAAACATTGGGAGATAACAAAATCACATGCCTCTCTCAGCCTAGGCTTTGAGGGAAGGAGAACAATGTTTTCCTAATGTGAGTTTAGGGTTCACATTTTATTACTGGTGGGGGTGGGACAGCCTTAACTGAGAAATTAACTGAAAGTGATCCTGGAATGGTAACACACCAGGGAGCTAAGAGAGGCTAATATAAATTTTCTGTGAATGGACTTACCCTCATCTAAGCCTTAAAGGATTTCCACAAAATGTCCCTGTGGAACATGAACTCACAATTCGATTTTCAAAACACATACGGAAACAAGACAGTATTAGCAAGTCAGCCAAACCAACAAACAGATTTAGACTCCTAAGGGTGTCTGACATTGGAATAACTAAATACAGAATATAAAATACATATGCCTAAATTATTTAAAGGACTAGAATAAAAAACATGAGCACAAAACAAGGTATTAGCTTTTAAAAGATCAGATTGATTTGAAAAAGAATAAAAATAGAATTTCACTTCTAAATGTGAAAGGTATAATCATTGAAATTAAAAAATAGGTAGCTTAAAAACATTAGTCTCAGCTGAAAAGAAACTGAAATAGATGAAAGCTCTGAAATTCCCCCGAATATCACTTAGACATGGAAAATATGAAAGTAATATTAAAAGATGTGGACAACAGAATGAAAAGTTTTATTATATCAGAGGTCCAAAGAGGAGAGAGGAAAGATTCAAATATATAATAAATGAGAATTTTCTTAAAATGATGAATGACATGAATTCTCAGATTCAATAGTCATAATAGGGGCTGGCCCCATGGCTGAGTGGTTAAAATTCCACGCATCCCGCTTTGGCTGCCTGGGTTTGCAGGTTCGGATCCTGGATGTGAACCTACTCCACTCATCAGACATGCTGTGGAGGCATCCCACATGCAAAGTAGAGGAGGACTGGCACAGATGTTAGCTCAGGGCTAATCTTCCTCAAGCAAAAACGAAGAGGATAGGGGCTGGCCCAGTGGCATAGTGGTTAAGTTCCCATGCTCCACTTTGGTGGCCTAGGGTGTGCAGGTTCGGATCCTGGGCATGGACCTACACACCATTCATCAAGCCATGCTATGGCTGCCTCCCATATACAAAGTAGAGGAAGACTGGCACAGATGTTAGTTCAAGGACCATCTCTCTCAAGCAAAAAGAGGAAGTCTGGCAATAGATGTTAGCTCAGGGCCAATCTTCCTCATAAAAAAAGTGATAATAAATTAGAAGAAAGTTAAAATAAAAAATTCACACCTAGGCATCTCATAGTGAACTGAAGTACACAAAGACAAACAATGTAAAAAGCAGCCAGAGAGAAATGACAGATTATACACAAAGTTATCAGTAATTATAGTAAAGCAAATTTATTAATAGCAACAATGGGAACAGATAGTAAGAGAAAATAACCATCAACCAGCCATACTATCCTATCATTCACTTTCAAGTGAACAGAAAGTGAACAAGTTAACTACAAAAGAAATCTCTGACAGGAACTTCCAAAGGATTTCATCAGGAAGAAGAGAAAGGATCCCAGAAAGGATATTTGAAACTTAAAAAGGAACAGTGAGTAAAGAAAGTGGTATAACAAATAATAATAACATTTGATTGGTGAGGTTAAAAAACTTAATATACTGGATACAATAACATGTAAAATGGGAAGGAAGGGATGATAGGAGAGAAACTTCTTCTAAGATCCTGGTATTTTTGGGGAAAAAAGATAGGAACATTGATAAGCTTTAGATTTTAGCTATGCATGTTAAAAATCCAGCTTATAGGCCACTTATAAGAGATACTGTATAAGAAGGAAAAAAGATATATCAGGCAAATGCTAACCAAAGGAAAGCTAGTACAGCTATAGTAATATCAGAAAAAATAAACTTTAGCATTTTTTAGGTATAAAGAAGAATACTATAAATAGTAACATGATAAATTTAAACCTAACTGCATCAATAATTAAATTAAATATAATATAAATGGTCTAAATGTTCCAATTAAAAGGCACAGATTTTCAGGTTTGACAAAATAGCAAGACCCAGCTATATGAGGTACTATCAAATGCACCTCAAATATAAAATCACAAATAGGTTAAAAGGATGGAAAAAGATATGCCATGATAACTCTAATCAAAAGAAAGCTAGAGTGGTTATTTAATATCAAACCAAGTAGATTTCAGAGCAAAGAATATTATCGAGGATAATTTTATAATGATAAAGGGGTCAATTAAGAGAATATAACCATCCTAAACATTACAGAACCTAATAACAGCTTTAAAATACATGAAGCAAAAACTAATAGAAGTACAAGGAGAAACAGACAAATCTACAATTATAGTTAGGAATTTTAACACTCCTCTCTCAATAACAGATAGAATAATAGAATAAGCAGAGAGAAAATCAGGAAGGATAGAGAAGACTTCCAACACTATCAACCAACTTGACCTAAATGACATTGACAGGACACTCCACCTAGCAGCAGCATTCTTCTCTACCTTCCTCTGAAGTGCACATGGAACACTTAGCAAGAGAGACTTGATTCTGGGCCATAAAACACATCTCAATAAATGTAAAAGGACTCAAGTCATAATAAGTATGTTCTCCAATCACAATATAATTAAATTAGAAATTAACAGCAGAAAGATCTCTGGAAAATCTCCAAATATGTTGGAATTAAATAACTCATTAGTCAAAAAAGAAATCACATAACTAGGATATACAACTATGTATAGGGCTTTGGGGAGGAAAAAACAAACAGGAAGATAGGCAATAGATGTTAGCTCAGGGCCAATCTTCCCCACCAAAAAGCATACCTTAAAAAAAAATCAAAGAGGGAAATCAGAAAGTATTTTGAACTAAATTAAAATGAAAAAAACAATATATCAAGTACGTCAGAGGAAATTTATAGCATGAAAAACCTCTACTAGAGAATAAGAAAGATCTCAAGTCAGTGACCTCAACTTTCATGTTAAAAAACTAGAAAAAGAAAAGCAAATTAAACCCAAAGTAAGTAGAAGAAAGGAAACTATAAAGATCAGAGTGGACATAAATAAAATAGAAAATACAGAAAAATCAATGAAACCAAAAATTGATTCTTTGAAAAGATCAATAAAATTGATAAACTTCTAACCAGTTAATCAGGGAATAAAAACCAGAAGACATAAAATAAATCTGACAAAATATGTGCAAGACCTGTACACTGAAAACTATAAAACATTGCTAGAAATTTAAGAAGATACCAATGAATGGAGAGAAACATCACCTTCATGAGTTAAGAGACTTACTATGGTAAAGACATTAATTCTTCCCAAACTAATCTGTAGATTCACAGCAATCCCAATCAAACTCCCAGCAGGTACTTTTTTTTCAGTTAATTGACAAACTGATTCTAAAACTTCAGAAATTTTTTGGAAATGCAAAAGGTCTAGAATAGCCAAAATAAGTTTGAAAAAGAACAAAGTTGGAGGACTAACACTTGCTGATTTCAAGACTTATTACAAAGCTACAGTAATCAAGACAGTGTGGTACTGGCACAAGACAGACAGATCAAAGGAACAGAATCCAGAATCCAGAAATAGGCCCACACATGAAAAGTTAACTGATTTCTGACCAAGGTGTGAAGGCAAGTCAGTAGAGAAAGGGTAGTCTTTCTTTCAACAAATGGTGCCAGAACAATTGGATGTCCATATGCAAAAAAAAAAAAGAACCTTAATCCGTACCTTAAAACATTAACTCAAAATAGAATATTACTCAGCAATATAAAGGAATGAACCATTGATACATGCATAGATGGATCCCAAAATAATTATGCTGAATGAAGGAAGCCAAACCAAAAAAAAAAAAAAAGAGTACATAGTGTAAGATTTCATTTATATAAAAATCTAGAACTTGCAAAATAATGTATGATGACAGAAAGCAGATCAGTGGTTTGCTGAGGATGGCAGGAGGGTGGGGAATGTTGACAGGGATCACAAAGAGGCACAAAGAACCTTCCGCTAATAATGGCACTGTTCACTCTCTTGATTGTGATTACGGTTGTGTAAGTGTATACATATGTCAAAACTAATCAGATGATATACTTTAAGCATGTGCAGTTTATTATAGTTCAAGTATACCTCAAAAAAGCTATTTTTAAAAAGCAGGGGAGTAATTATTGGGTGGGCCTGAAAGAGATTGTCTCAGGTCTGAAGCCTGGGAAAAAGCGCCAGTGACAGGAGAGCATATATGTAATCTACCTCACAATATAGAGTAAAGCTAACTGTGTACTTGAGGCGAATGTGCTGAGTTGTGGCTGCAAGGGTGAACAAAGCGTAGCATCAGAGAAAAGGTAGTCATGAGGAAAGGCAAGAATCCACAGGCATACTTTTTGGTGGAGAAATTCTCATCTCAGCCTCGTTTATTTATGGCAGTGGCAATGATAAGAATCTATGAACTGTGAACTGACATGGGGAACTATCCAGGGAATCAGCCATGTTCCAGCTAGTTTCTGAGGGAAGGCAATGGATCTTTAACCTCGGTATCTGCAGCTTCTAGCCTTATGCCTGGCACATAAGAGATACTCAATTAATGTATGCTAAATAAATACATGAATGAACTAATTCCATGATGGAAAGAAGTTATTTTTAATAGCTGAAAAGCTTACTGCTTTTTTCATTAGCTTACTTAGGTAGAATTTAAGCCAATAACACATTTTTCTTAGTCACTAACTGTGGATTCAAATAATCAGCTTTGACTATAGTTTGGAAAAGCAATATTTGGTAATTTCCATATACAACAATCATCTCTCAAAAGATTTCTGCTGCCAACTAAAATCACAGGTCCTAACCTGGCTCTCTGAAACATTTAAAATCACCAAAACAAAAGTGAATGGTGAATTCTGTCTTGTAGACACCAAGAGTGCAATTCTTTCTTTTCTTTTTTTTTCAGATTATCTTTGGAGTGACTGTCTAACTTGGGGGGGGGGGCGATGCAAAATCTTAAACCTGTGTTTACTTTGATATGAGTTAATGCATCCTTTATTTTCCAAGATTTAAAAACAGTCTGACTTGTTTGGCTTGGAGGTATAAATAGGTTAGAGACACTGTAGATAAAAAAGTGTCATGTGTGAATGCTTGGAAAAAAACTCATCCAAGTCATCTATTTCATTTTTAAAATATGTAGAATAATAGCATATTCTTTAAGTAGGAAATACACTGATTACTGCTGGACTTTTTAAATATAATTTCCATTACTTTTTGTTTCTCATCTTTAACAAATGAAATGCGTATTTACTGAAATACGTTTTTACATTAGGTATAAATGAGGATTCAAGCAGAATCAAAGTTTAAGAGCAAATTCTTCAGCCTGGCACTTGCAGCCCTCTGTATGCTGGCCCAACCTCATCTGTGTCCCATCCACTAGCACTGGCACTCGGGCTCCTGGCTTGGCCTGCTCCTACAGGCGCTTGCCACTCTGCCTCCCACACGGCATTCCTTCCCTCGGTTCAGCCCTCTCTCCTGTCCTGTGTTTCTAAATGCTAACACCTGTGGGCAATGCTGAAGACAGGAGAGCCTGAGAAGGTCCTGAAACTTGACCACGTATTCTAGAATACGCATTTTCATTTGGTCAGAGGTGTGTTTGCTTCGCTTCACTTTTTCTCTCCTTAGGTTCTTACGTCTCCTGACTCCTTTACTATTCATCTTTCTCCCTCACATCTGATTTTTTTTTCTAGAGCCTTTTTTGAGCTCTTATAATTGGAAAAACTATTCACGGGAATGCTATGAAGCATAGTAGATACCCGTTAAATGTTCTGTTCTACTAGACAGAGAATCTAAAAAGTTCCTAAACCTTGATCAAATGTTCTGACAATACATATGTTAAAACTCTAAGAAGGATAATAATTCTAAAGTATCCTTTGAGCCAGGTCACAACTATCTTTGGGGTATAATAATCCAAAGTTATAAGACAATTTTTATAAAGATAAAAATGGTCATGAAATAACTTTTAGTAAAAGATAACAATATGGGGATCTAGGCCAAAATAACTTTTGAAATTTCTGAAGTAATTCTGAAAGAAATCTCAGAGTGGCATATACCTCCAAAGATGGCAAAGACAGGCTGTTTACTACTTGAAGGGTGGCTCCTGGTTTTACCTTCATCCTTTCCCCTTTCTTATTCCCTTACATTCTGCAACTCATTGTCAACCAAAAATATTTCTGAGCATTTACCATGTACCAGGAACTATGCTAAGTACCAAGGATACACTGGAAAGCAAAATAGAAAATAGTTTCTAAAGTGGATTTTCTAAGCACAATCGTCTCTATTTTTTAATTCATCCTATTTCTTGGCTTTGCTCTACTCTCTTTTAGACTCTCATGATTATTATACTCATAATTTAAGCAACAGTTCTTTTACGTATCTGGTATTATATGTTGAATCAGCATAAACAGGATGATTGAAAGGAACATGCTATTAAATTTTGGCAGAGCAACGTGACTCGTAATCTTAAAGTCCAATAAATAAATAAATATGTACCCTAAAAATGTGAAACATCACCTGAAATTCTTCACATTTTAGGACATAAAAACCCATATTAAGGGGATTAAATTATGTGGATCACCATATAAAAAGTAGAAGGAGTAATTCAATACTTTGGTCTAAACATTAAAATGAAAAATTCATTTCACTTACCTTTGATTTTTTTACTTCTTTACTGGGTGTTGCTACACTATATCCCAGGACTTCCGAAGAACTGCTCTTTGCATGGCTACACATGCTTCCTACAATAGGATATATTTAGAAATATATTTTCTAACTAATGAGAAACAGAAAAGTCCTGATGCTTCCGTGAAACTATCTCAACCCTGATCACAGGGTAATACTAAAAGAACATACCACTCGGGTAGTGGACAAGGTCTACATTGCATACTTCCTGAAGGGCTGAGTTAAGGCAAAAAGCCCAGAATGACCTGACCAATGTCGTAAATATTTAGACAACCAACATCCAAATAGAGCTATAAAGGTAACAGTAAACGTTAGGGAAGACTTCTGTAAAACATAAATGACCTTTTTTTAAAAATTAACCTAGTTATAACTAAGTTCTTTCTACTCAAATGGACATGTTATTTTTTGGTGTTTCAAATTAACCCACATGTTATATAGTCAAATAATGATCTTTAAAGTATACTCATGAAGCATATGCACTTTTTAAATTTTCTATCATCCAATACTTAATTTTAACACTTTAGGCTATATGCTAAGAATAGAGATGATAAATATTTTAACATTTTGCTTAACATAGTCTAAAACTCACTACTCTTTCTGCAGAAGTTATAAGGAAAAAGGATTAAGGGAACTATTCCTTCTTCTGCTTAAGTTCGGATCAGATATCCACTATCATGATAGCTATTTTTTTTTAAAGATTTTATTTATTTTTCCTTTTTTCTACCCAAAGCCCCCCATGGTACATAGTTGTATATTCTTAGTTGTGGGTCCTTAACCACTCGGCCACGGGGCCAGCCCCCGTGATAGCTATTTTTAATGAGAACACAGTAAAAAGCACACTGTGATGTGGTGATGTGGAGACATAATACAGGGGTCATACAGCAAAAATATAGATATTTGGGTGTAGAAAATGTAGGTCTCGAGGGCAAGCACAGTCTCCTCTATTCTGTGGCACCTGTTCTCTGACAGGACTCCTCTTAAATGCCTGAGGTAAGATCAAAAACTCAGGTCTGGGCTCCAAGGGAAATACCTGGATGGCCCACTGTGGCTCCAGGCCAGCTTGGTCACCAGCACTGGGGTCTCGCAGTGCTTACGAGATATACAAATTGAGATTTGGGGCAAAAGTCCAACTTAACACTACTGATTAAAAGAAGAAAAAAGGTAGTAAAAAGGCTGTCCTAAACCACTTAACACTGACACAGGAGCAGCACGAGTAATGCGAATATTTTGACGTGAAGAAGCTGTGGTGGTTATCAATGAAAACAAATAAGCCTATGTTGCATATTTTATAGCTTGTTATAAGGGTCATGTGACAGCAGAAAGTATAAGAGAGAATACGTGTGTAAGCTATAATTACTTGATTACAGCATATATATACACATATGTATGTACATACGTATGCACGCTATGTATCTAGCCTTTTTAAACGTATACTTTTAAAGTTGAATGTGCTCACACCTTTTGGATTTTCGTTGTATTCATAAAGGGCCCGTTTCTGTTGGTTGGATTTTTTGTCCTATAAACAATAAACAATATACAATATAATAAATATTTTGTATTGTAATTGTAGATAAATACAATATAATTATATAATATATTAAGAAACATCTTTGTGCTGTGGTAGAAAACCCAGTTTTGGTTTTAAGCATGGTTCCAGAGCTGGCCTCTAGCTGACAACACAAACACGTGACAATTACTTCACTTAGCTGGGCTCTTGCCTAGATGCTGAGTGATTGCTAATGTCCCTCCTAACTTAAAATTGTATGATTTAAAAAAATTGTGTGACTCAAGAATTCTACTCAAAGAAGATTCAGGAACATTAACTGGTATATGAATTAGCCCAACATTTTACAATGTCAAATTAGAGTTTAATGAATTCTATGTTAAAGAATTTAGGGACCACCTTAACCGGAACTCATAAACGTTGTTTATAAACAGAATCTTCCTCTCCGTCTGAAAGAAAACAGTAACTGCCAGAACATTTTTCTTCTCAGTGAGAGGAAGGAGTCTTGGATAAAGAAGGAATCAAGGAGGAGAATGAACTCTATAGCACAACACCATTTTGTAAATCAAAACTATATGCACACAAAACAATACATGTTTTATAAGTACACATCCAAAAAAGAGACAAGTATGTTTCAATGGTTGTCTATATTACGGAAAAGGGGAATGGGACTAAGAGAGAATCAATTTAAATAAAGAGAGGAGACTTGCACAGACCTATGATGATAGTGTTTCACCAACAAGAAGGTATGATTAACTTAGTGTTCTGAGCAAAAGGTTCAAAAAATGAAAACAGAAATGAATCAATGCAGTGTCATTCAGTTTGGGTTTCTGAATTCCATACCTCTGCAATTAACCCAGAGCAGTGTTAGCAAATAAGTGATTTCAAGCCTACCAATTGTCCCCTAGCAGGCTCACTCTTAGGCAAAACTGCCAAATAGAGATGATGTTTTTGGTACCCATAGCTCCACTTTCAGGATGACTCTCTCTTCCTCAGTGATACCTCTTGTTATTCCTCCTGTACTTTCTTCTAGACTGCATCTGTGCAGAACTGATCACAACCTCAAATACTGCTGTGAACAATTTTCATTATCCGAGTGCGTGTAAATATACACATGTATGCGGGCCCCTATATATCCCATTTCTGTCACCAGGAAGGGCTGCTAACTTTGTAATTTCATCATTGCAAGGACCCAGTGCTGACCTTCTCGGTTAACCTCTCAACAGTGTACTATTCTGCCCCCTATCAGTTGATTTTCACTTTTGGGGAACGGAATGCTACCAAGAAGTGTAGAAAGGGTGCTAGAAACAAAGTGTGCCTGATTCCTAAGTTTACCTAAGCTTTCTCTACAGCACATGAACAGTCAGTCACAGAAGTGTTTCTGCTCCCAAAGGAAGTTAGAGTCTGCCCTCTGCAGGGACCAGGGGGCTCAGACACTTGCTCTTACGCAGGATCTCAGGATTCAAGTACAAGTCCTCATACCTGTTCAGCGGTTGCCCATACCTTTTCAGCCGAGCTGTCGCTGGTTTCACTGGGGTCGTCTGCAGGAACATTTTTATTCTCTCTCTCAGCTTCCTTCCCACCTTCCGCACATTCACCAATTCCCTCATCCACGTCTTCTAGGTCCTCATTTTCTGAAAATTCACAACTCTGTGACAAAATCGATATCAGGGAAGAGTTAAGATTTTCTTTTTTAAAAAACAGATTTGATATTGCTGACATAAATAATTTATACCATCTCGAAGAACACACAGAATATGAATTCAAATACTGAAGTTAAGGAAATAAAATATTGCATAGTCCATGCCACATATCAACTTACTATATTACCAAGGACTTTATGCATGTTGCTCTATTTCAACATTCTCAATGATGAGGATTCACAAAATTCTATTAGCATCTATGTCAAGGTTAAAATGGAAAAAAAATTAAATATGCTTTCTGGGCTGCCTCAAAAGAACGCTTTTAGGGGCCGGCTCCGTGGCCGAGTGGTTAAGTTCGCGTGCTCTGCTGCGGTGGCCCAGGGTTCGGATCCTGGGTGCGGACATGGCACCGCTCGTCAGATAAAGCAGAACAACAAAAAAAAAAGATTGGCAACAGTTGTTAGCCCAGGTGCCAATCTTTAAAAAAAAATAAAAAAAGAATGCTTTTAAACTTAAAAGTTAAAAAGCTTTCTATCTATTGTAGCATTATAACATAATCATATCTAGATATTATGTTCATTTCCAAAACACAGGGATTTAGAATCACTTCAGAAGTACAATTCACTGATATTCACAAGAGAGAGGAAAGTATAATTACTTACATTCCAGGAAAAAGATAAAGGGATATAGGCAGTTTAAGTGGTCTGCTCTTGGTTATTTAAAGCAGAGGGAAAACCAAACAGAGGCAGAACTTAGTCCATCTGGCTCCTGTCCAGCTAATACAAATTACATAACAACCAGTCTACCGATTTGATAAAGTGATAGCAAATCATGTAATGCTTACTAAGAATAAGCAGAAAAAAATTAGTTTAATCCTGTATTCTATACTAAGATTATTTTGAAGTTTCATATTTGGGGTGGAATATTGCTTATTTTTTTGTCATTAAGAAATTAGGCTCCTTATTGGACTTTTTCCTATGCTTTTCATTTATGTGCTTCACTAAAGGTATAATGGCCCCTAAAATAGGTGAGACAGTAAGTAATCAGTGCCATTCACTCCCTTGAGGAACGTTTTTACAAAGTTCGCCTTGGCCATATTTGCCTCAGACCATATATGCCCTTTATACCGCTTCAATACTGTAACTGGCTTCTCGTGGTCACCTTCCTAGTGACTGTCTGTGTAAGGATAAGCCTAACATCCAACAGAATCTTTAGTGGGTGATTTGAAAACAATGCCTCTACTAATTAACTCACCTTCTTCTGGCAAAAATACAAAATGTGAGAGTTTAGGCTAGAGAGAGAATACGTTTGTATTTCACACCTTAGTTAACAGACGTGAAGTGTCATCCTCAGGCCAGTAGCACTAAGGGTGTGGCCTAATAGCATTCCCACTGAGGACAAGCAATGCAGAAGTGAAGCCTTGAGATTTAGAAAAGGGTTTCAGAAGTTACTCTGGGAGGGCTTGACTTAGGTCAATCAAAGGTCATGAGACAGTGCACGTGGGAGGGGAAAGCACAAGAGGGGAACAGGTAGCAGGGTAGACAGCTATATTAAAGGATGTGTTGCATGTTTAGTTTGGGTAGGGTTAACTACAAGGTAGCGACTATCAAGAACTTCTAAAGCTTTCTTTTTTTCTGCATGATTTCCCCTTTAAGTGACTTATATTGTACATTATGCCTAGCCAGATGCACATTATAGGTAGCTAAAATGATCAGAGACAACTTTACTTTGGAAGGGAATGGGAAGCAAGATTACTAGATTCAAGACTTATGCCTGATGTTGATATATTAATAAATGCACATAAATGAAGACCAACTAGAAAGAACAGTGCTCCTGAGACACAGAATTACAGACTCCGTCTATCTATCTCCCAGAGGGAGCATCAATGAGCTGTGTTCTGGAAAAGTCATTACTTGGAGAGTTTGGCTAATCTAGCACTTGGGTCAATTCTGATCATGCTAGTTAACTAAGGTATTAAAGTAATCATAGGATATCATGTTATTGTAAAAAGGAACATGGAGTTTTATCTTATTTTAGAAATAAGCAAAACAGTCATCTCTTTTATAATGAACTACAATTTTACTCATTAACTTTAGGAAAATCTATAACAATGAAGAACTGTTGGAACTGTATCATATTCTAAATTTGAGAAAGCTCTTAGAAAAATGACATTTTTCACTAGCAATCACATCAACTGCATGACTTTGCACTAATTAAGCACACTTAAAATTAACCTATACACAGCTGGACAACTACTTTAAATCACATATAGAACTTACCTTCAAACCAAAACAGTTTAGGAGAGACTGGCAGAATACTGTCATTTTATAAAAAGAAAGGATAAAGTTTAAATACATTCTCATCACCAGAACCACAAAAGATGTAAAAAGGCAGTCTGGAGTGGTCCGTGGAAATGCATCTTAGGTTAGGACCACAGCAAAGAAGTGAATGGGCCAGGCTCCCACAAAAGGACCCTTGTTTCATTGGCCAGACACAGCACAGGGAGCTGCAGTCCTTGGTCTGGCCCAGGGAACACTTTTTAAATTTCTTATGGGAGACATCAAGAAACCGAAAATTCCTCGTGAGGTTTCAGTTTGCTTAAGAATGCAACTATACTGCATACTTTAAAAACTAGATTGCTATCACAAGTTAGCCTAGTGGTCACCAAGGGGGGGATGGGAAATGGCTGGAAGGGGGTTGAAGGAGAGCGTCTGGGGAGCTGACACTGTGCTTTTCCTTCATCTGGATGTTGACTCTATGGATGTGTTCAGTTTGCGGAAAATACAATGAGCTATACATGTATGAGATATACACTTTTCTGTGTGCGTATTAACTTAGAGTTTTTAAAAGTTAAAAAAAAGACTATAAAGTATAAAATTTTGTGCTACAAATCTGGATTCATGACATACCTCAATATCATATAGGGTAGAGAATGTTTTCCAAATAGGTAAATAGAGCATAAAACATTTATCTAAGTCATATCAGGTGGGAAAATATATATTTTTAAATCTCAATTTGAAGGTTTATTTTTAGGACAAGAAGAGTTAATATGTAAGTTCATGTTTTGACTACACTAGAAATGAGCGAGGCAGGAGTAGAGAGTGGGAAGGGCGTTAAACTCAAAGACCTAAGCACTGCTCCATTACTCATGGCCTCAGCAAGGCATCTAATTAATCTACTTTACCGTCTACCTGTAAAATGGGAAAAGGACATTAGCAACACCTACCTTGGAGGGTTTACATCAAGATTAAAAAGATTATTTACAGAGACAATAACGTGAGCAAACAATAAGTATTTGTATATAAATATAAGTGATTTTGTAAAGGCCTCTCCATAAAAAGTAAGATAGAATCCCTGGTGTGCTTTGAGGACTATGAAAAAAGAAGCTTGGACACTTTTTGCCATATTGTCCCACATCTTATCACTAAAAATGGCTCATTTAAAGTGTTCACTTATTTGTTCTACCCTCTTATACACATTCCTTTATTCTCTGCCAGGAGCCCAGTAGCCAGAGCAAGCGAGGGAAGATGCCTGTCAGGAGCAGCCCTGGGATGGTAGGGAAGTGGAGGGGTGACCTGGCTGGGCTGCAGGCCAGTGATGCCACAGGGCACGATGCTCCCAGACTCTCAGGTTTTCCCAGAGAAGTTTGAAAAACAGTTTTTCAATGTAAAATCTCCTGATATTTCAATGTTGGCAACTGATTCAAATGTTTAGAAAACCACGATATATACCAAACAAAATAAATCTGCAGGCCAGATTGCACCCATGGGCTGCCAGTTGTGACTTCCCAGTTCTTGGCTTCTAATGACACTACTCTACAATCTCTAAATTTTTCCTTCTTTCTAGGCACCAGTCCCTTACTTCATTCCTAATCCTGTCTTTTCACCACTAAATACATTCCAGTTTGACTCTGATAAGCATGCCTGCAAAAATGAATGTAATGATCAGGGTACAGAGTATCTTGCTGGCATACAGTTTTATTCTCATTTTCTGTTTTAACTCTATTATTTTCCCTTAGAAAATTAATTTTCCTCCTTACCTTAAACAAATGTATGATCCATGACTACACTTTATGTGTGAACTTTTAAACTATTTTGATAAAAACATTAGCACACAGAGGGGAAATCTGTGGTCCCATGAGAGCACTAACATCTAAATTTTAGGCTAACCATGTGACTGCGATCAGCCTTGCATCACACTTCAAATGTGGAGGGGCAGTATTTGGCTCATGTATGGTGTGTAGTAGTAGAGTTTCACTCTACCTCCTATTGAAGGGTTATTGCGTTATTGTAATTCATTTCATTCCCACAGATCTATTTCCATACGCCAATTTTTGGGGGGTTGCTATGTTGTATTTAAACAAAAGTCAGGTTCACAGGACTAAACTCATGCACATCAGCCAGTGACTTGGAGAGTCATGAGGGTAACACTGCACCTGACTTAATATGATCAGAGAGGATAATTAGTCTCACAGGTTACCATTTGCTGAGTTCCCCTGATGTGTTTCATGTGCTAACTAGTTTAATTATCAGGAGACCCCTTCCTTTACTAAAAGAGGGAAATAAGACTCAGAAACTGAAAAAAAAAAAAACAAAAAAACACCTTTTCCAAGTTTCCACACAGTTTATCAGTGAAGGGCTAGAACTTGAACTCAGGCCTACTGGACTCCAGAGCCCACGTGCTTTCCCAACTCTGCCCAAATAATTTGAAGACCATAATGGCTGCCCACAGAGTCCCCTCCCCACCCCTGACACCCCCCCACTCCCCGCACTGATATTTAAAGCATTGCAGATTTCTTTTTTGTTGATAAGCTCACTTCAATAACATCCTATTCTTATGTACCACTGTGCATATTAATAGCAAATAAAAATTGAGGATTTTTTCCCCCAGAGCACCAAAGTCTCTAGAATATACATCTCCCTTGCTAAATCGAGAAATATGCCAGCAGCACTCTTTGTCTGATATTTACTTTTCAAAGTCTAGTTCTGATTCTATTTCTCTGCAAAGCAGACTTCCTGGAGCTCACTCTTTGCTGGCAAAGTGGGCTCTGTCTAGGCCCTCTGCTGGGTCTCTCCCAGGTCCTCTCTGCAGCCCTTCGCTGCTCCTCCCTTGGCTTGGGCAGCACCTCTCTTTCCTAGAAAGTGTTCCTACTCCACCTGCTTCTCAGGCTTCCCTTTCTCAACCTCCCCTTACCTACTGGTTTCCCTGAATTCTGTCCTTAGTCCTCTTCTCTCGTCACACTATGAATGCTGCCTCTCATTCAACTCCACGGCTTTAACTACACACATAAGCTGGTGATACTCAGCAGTCTCTCCTGAGCTCCAGACCCAGACGTGTATCTCCTGCCTGCAGAACATCGCCTGGATCAACAAGCGCCAAGCAGTCTCCCAAACCTGCCCCTACTCCTCTGTTTTCAGTCTTGATGAATGGCACTCTTTCCACCCAGTTCTCCAGGCCATAGAGAAGAAAGGCTTGGCCTTTTCCCTCCCTCCAAGTTACATCTCTTTATTAAGCCCTCCAGTTCTATCCCTAAATCAATACACGTCCCCAACTCTCCATCCCCAGTGTCCGAGTCCAGCCCCTCTTCAGGCTCTACCTGGCCTACTATAACTGCCTCCTAATTGGTGTCCCTCATTCTGCTCCCACTCCCTTCCAGTCTACCTTTTCTATTGCTGCCAGAATGATGTTTCAAAAGCCCAAGTGTGATCATCTTACTCTTGTTGTGTAACATTGTTTACAAACAGCTAAGGCCCTTTGCCTCTCTATCCAGGACCAAAGAATACTCTAGGCTGCAGTCACAGGAAACCACTCTCATGGCGCCCATCAGCCTGAAAAGCCTGCTGCCCCTTTGCCTGGTTAGGTTTTACTTTTCATGACTCAGTTCACGTTTCATCATCACTCCTTAGAAGCCTTTTCCTAGTGTTTCTCTGTGGCAGCTGAAGCGCCACTTCTGAAGCACTCTATGGCACTGTTAAGTTTTCTGGTCAGCCTATAGAAATAGCCAAGAGTTTCTTGACATCAGGAACCATATCTTACTCTCTGCATACCCAAAGCACAAAATCATTTTCTTCTTATTAATTAAAGGATTTAATGGAGGAAAGACACAAATTTGTTTTCAGATTACATTTTTATCTTTGGGCAGTCCTGGCTAAGAACTTGGGGTATCAAGAAACAATAGGGCATTGTTAAGCACTAGTTAAGGCAGAGTCACAGGAACTCTCTTTACTTGGTATTCTTTCAAGAAATCTAGACCTACCTAATACCCCTGACAGGTAAGAGGGTCACAGGAGGTTGACCGTAAGCAGCCCCCACTTCTTGAGATTCATCTGATTTGAGGAAGCTTCTGTTCTCTTTTTGGTGCTTGGTACACAAATATTTGTTGAATGAATATGTACCAAATATTAAGGTGTTGGGTACTAGGCATATCATATCACATTTAATTTTCACAATGGAAAGAAAGAAGGAAAGAATTACAGCACCTTCCTCCATGGTGGCATTTTATTTTTAATATACACGTGTACAGAAAGTTTATTTCTATAGTGAAATAACAGAAAACATTTCAATTGCACTCACCTCGAGTGCTGCTGTTCAGCAGCAGTAGATGCTTCTGTGGTACTCCTTTGTAGCTTACCTTAAAGTATTTTTCTGCCAGAGTCCTCATTCGGAACTGTAACTCAATGGATTCTACATACACTACTCACACTTGCCTCAGAAATGATCACTGATAAACTACAGTAAAAGCCTGATCAATCGGCAGATGGGGACTATAAAGAAGGAACCAGTTCTTCCAATCTATTTAACCAAGTATTAATTCAGGCCTCAAAATGACTAGGCCAGTGTTCTTTTGATCAGAACACTACGCCTGCAGGAATTACTGCTTTCAAAAGAGCACAAAAAACTTTTGGCCAGGGAAATGTGAAGAAATGCTGTTTAAAAACGATTGTCTAGACCAGTTCAAATACCCAGATGGGCATATTTTAAGAACATCATTTCAGTATTGCTGGCTAATTACCTCTTCAGTGGAAGATGTACGCCCACACCTTTAAGATTAATAACTTGAATTTAAGAGTTTCTCATCTCCTTGGAAGTTCTCCCTTTTAGCCCTCAGTCATCCATTTTATTTAATCATCTTAGGTCTACTTTTTAAACAAGCACGTTTTGCACAAGAATTAACAAAAAAATATTAGTTCAATTCTACTGACACTAATGAATGTGGTAGAATTTGGTAGAACACTGCAACGCCCAAATCAGCATATTTGCTTAGTTGAGGGAAGCTACCAGAGATCCTTGCAGCAAGCACAGAACTGACAATTGCTCCTAGGGATTTCTCCACTTCATATTCTAGTCTTTCTCCTCATATTCCTTCTCACTCATGGAGAATCAAATGTGTAAAGAATTCAACAATATAAAATTCACAGGAAATTTACCATCAAAATCCTCCTTGATAAAAGACAGTATAAGAAATCCTTCGTGTCCAAGATATGGAACAGACTGGGGAAGGAACTCAGTTGAAAAGGGAGCTATGAATAAATGACAATCAAACTAGCTGCATTATGTACAATGAAAATTTTAAGGAAAAACTGAAATTACTCTGGTGGAAATCTAGTCTCTCTAAAATTCAATATCTAATATTAGTTTCTCTTTTTCACAATCAATGACTGTATACATTTAATTTTTATTTTACTTGAAACATTCTGACAAGCAAAAAAAGAATTACAGAATAGTCATGAAGAATACATTGAAGGCACACAAGAGATACTGGGAAGGAAGGTTCTGACAGTATAGTTAAAGCTCGGAAATTAAGAGTTTAGAAATACAGAAGTACAGAAGACAAAAGACATGAAAGCTGTCATAACTTTTTAAGAGTTAAGAACAATATTTTATAAAAAGCTAAATTTTAGTGCAGTTTTTCTTCCTTAAAAACATTTCTTATACACATAACAAACATGATAGAGTAAATCAGTCTGTTAGAATGAAAGAATCTAAGAGTTACAAGAGACTATAGTTATATCATCTGATCCACTTCATTTTACAGATGAGGAAACTAAGGCCCAATGAGTAACTGTGCCTAGCCAATAAATACTTAAAGTTTTACATACTTCCAGAACATACATTTAAGTTAATCTCTATGTCATAGATATACTGCCATTTGCCTAGACAACAACTAAAAGAGATCACATTATTAGGATCTAAGCTCTGAATCCAGCTGTCACTTGGTAGATTGTCGTAAAAAGGACACATAAAAGTTAAAAAGACAGCACTATTTTTTTTAATGTGAATTCCTTATTTTAACTTTAGAATACTATCCATTCTTATAAAATTATTTTATGTGGTAGGAAAATTGTAATCATAGACTGAAAAATATTGTGCTAACATATTTATAAGAAATTAGATGTTTTTATAGCCCTTAAGGATCTGTGCCATTTTTAAAGGGACCGATTTGTACACACAAACAATATACTCTTATAGTGCACTCCTGTTTCCTAAATGTCTTTAATGAGAAACATATGTTAATTATCTGCTATGATCTTTTGATATTTTGTACTTATGATTTATAATTTGGAGGAAAAATACACCAAAATATTAGTTTAAGAGGAGCCAAAATTTACCAGTGTCTTGTGTTGTCTTTATCAGTCGTTATTGTACCACATGTAAAGTAACCATGACATAAAATCAATTTAATAACATGTATTGAGTGCCTCTTATGTGTAAGGCGTTCAAATTGTTTGGCTGCACATAATCAGGTCAAGTTTAAAGTTTGTTACTTCAATTCCAAATAATGTGGTAATACATTATTCCAGAATTGTTTTGAACCTGGTGGCCCATTTTCTAAAAGTTGTTTTGACTGCACTGGCGTTTTGAACCTCTGTACTTCACACTCTTTCCCCTTTCCCTCTGTGTTAGTAGTAAACTTTTTTGGATACGTTTTATCTTTGTCATATTTCACAGATCCTTTGATTCTGCTCACTTTGTTAGACTCTTTTCCTTCACCCTGTCTTCCCTGTCTTTCACTCTCTTCATCGCCTGTCTCCTGGTATTTCCCCTCTTCCTCATTGCCCTCCTCTTCCTCCTCCTCTTCTCCTCTCCTCCCATTTTCTTCCTCTTCCCTCTCCCCTACTTCTGCCTCCTCCTTTTCCTTTTCCTTGCCTTCCCCTTCTCCTTCCTCCTCCCCCTCTTCCTCCACCTCCCCTTCCTCCCCTTCCCCTTCTCCTTCCTCCCCATCCCCCTCTTCTTCCTCCCCTTCCTCCTCTCCTTCCTCCTCTCCCTCCTCCATTCTTTCCTCCTCTTCCCCCTCTCCTTCCTCCTCCTCCTCTCCTTCTTCCTCTTTACCCTCTTCTTCCTCCCTCTCTCCCTCTCTTTCCTCTTCCCCTTCTGCTTCCTCTTCCCCCTCCCCCTCTCCTTCCTCCTCCTCCTCTCCTTCCTGCTCTTCTTCCCCCTCTCCTTCCTGCTCGCCCTCTTCCTCCCCCTCCCCTTCCTCCTCCTCCTCCCCACCTCCCTCTCCTTCCTCCTCCCCCTCCCCGTCTCCTTCTTGCTCCTCCTCCGCCTCTCCTTTCTCTTCTCCTTCTTCCTTTTTTCCCTTTCCCTTCTCCTCTTCCTCTTCTCCCTCTTTTCCTCCTTCTTCCTCCTCACCTTCCTCCTCCTCTCCTTCCCCCTCTCCTTGTTCCTCCCCTTCCTCTTCCTCCATCCTTTTGTTTCTTTCCACCTGATGGCCTTGTTCCCTCTCCTTTTGCTCCTGTTCCTCCTCCTCTTCTAGGTCTTTCTCTTCCTTACCCGGGCTCTCACCTTCTCCTCTCTTGTCCTTCTCCTCCTCTCCATCCTCCCTTTGCCTCTGCTCCACTCCTGAATTATGTCCTCCACCTTCAGGCACATCCTCTGCTTCTTCCCCTGACTCTCCCTTGCCTTCACTCACCTCTGGGCTGTCTGAAAGGTCATCTGACAGGATCTCTGCTTCCTCCTCCTTTCCTCGAGGCACCTTCACGTTTTCCTTACTTGCCTCTACTTCTTCCTCCTCTACTTCACTCCCATCTGAATCCTCTGCTCCTTCCTGTTCTTCTGGGATCTCTGACAAGCGGTCACACTTAAAATCATATTTTTCCATGAATCTGCATATTTTGTGTTCAGTCTCTTCCTCATGTCCTTGTTCAATAAATTTTCTGCTATACCACAAGTTTTGGTCAGTTTCCACTTCATCATCCTCTTCCTCTCCACTACTAAATTCTACCGACTCAGGCTGATCGAAGCCATCACCCTGCTGACTTTCACTTTCACCTTCCAAGTAACTGTCTGACTCCTCTAAAGATTCACTGTAACAAACCACATCTTGCTTGTTCCTTTTACTTTTCTTAATAAAATATTTTTCTTCATCCTCAACATTAAAGTCTCTATTTGGTATGTTATCAAAGAATGCATTAATATTTTTAATATTCTCTTCACTTTTTCTTATATTCTTCAGTCCTGACATTTTAGCCAGGTTAGTTTCCTTTTCAGGGACTACTTCTTCTGCTTTTGAATCCTTCTGACTGTGTTCTCCATAACTTTTCTTTATTTTCTTACCACCACATGGATAAAGACTATGCTTACTTTCACGCCTACATATCTCTCCCTGCAAACCCTGTGCACTGGTGTTGGACTGAGGTCCAGCCTGGTCTGAGTCATCACTTAGGTCCTCATCTGGAAATGCTTCCATACTCATAGTTGTTTGAATCATGTATGTTCCTCTTGCCAAAAACTGTCTATATGGTCTCCCTTCTTGCACTTTTTTGGGTATCGCTTCACTTTCAGATTCATTACTATCATCAGTTTCAGTATGTGCTGTATCATGCTTCAGTTCCTCAAGTTTTTCTTGTTTCTGTAAATTTTTGAAGTAATCGTCATACTACTATTAGTTGACAAAGGTAACTTATCTACTACAAAATACTGCCAATATTTTGCATTATTATAAGTTTCACTAGGAGAATAATACTATCCAGTTTTACCAGACATTTTGCTCAGATTTTGTTTTCTTTGGGGATAATTTATGCCACTCTCTCAGTCTATGGTACATCTAATTTTGATTTAGTAACAGGTACCTGTGTTTAACTTACAAATTCTTACTACCTGCCTTAAATTTGCCATTACTCACAGTACCATCAATATTTATTCTCTGCCTCTTTTCTTAATCTGAATCAATTCCTAAATATAATACATTCCCAACTGATTTTGCAAAATACTGCTAAAAAATGTACACTTCCCTTGCATGCAGTGCAGTCCAGTTTAATTTTTTCTATCTTCTCTATTGTTTTGATTGTCAAATTTTGATTGGTCTTTTGATTCCATAAAATTTACAAAATTGAAGAAAATAAATGAAAATATCAAATTTTTAAAAATTGGAAAAAATGAATAGCTTATTTCTAGGGAAAAAGTCTGAAATGAAAACTACAAATGAAATCTTTTTATTGGTATACTAAATAATAATATATTTGTCTTTTCAAAACAAAATCTTTGAGTTGACCCTCTTTTATCCATTATATTCTTTAATTATAATAATTTGCATACATGAAAAAAATCACTATGAGGAAAAAATACTTAAGGTAAAATGTAAGGTCTTCATAAAAACTATGAAATTAAACATTGAGATTTGAATGCTACATTAAGAATATGAAAATAATTGCCTGCTGGACAAAATAAGGCAAAAATCAAATTGTTGACCTAAATTCTACAAGCTAATGGGTTGAACTATTTAATGACTTTGGGTTTCTGGATAGGAAAACCTCACTAACTCAAGTTTTATAAATTGTGATGAGCGCCAGGCCTGGGAAGAGGTCATTTTTTGCTGAAGAAATTACGAAAAGAGCATAAGTTAAAAATATATAAAAATAGTATAATAAATCTTCTTTTATTTGCTAAAGTAGGCCTGGTAGGGCTTCTACCTAAAAGGACCATGTGAAGTATAAAATACATATCAGTTTAAAAGGAAGTGCATTCCATATGAACAAGAGTGGTAGTTTAGACTGAAATTATCCAATATGGTACCTACTAGCCACTTGTGGCTATTGAGCACTTGAAATGTGTCTGGTTCCCACTGAGATATGCTATAAATAAAATACATACCAGATTTCAAAGACTTTTTACCAAAAATAGAATGCAAAATATCTCATTAATAATTTTCATACTGATTATATGAAATGATAATATTTTACCTACTGTGGGTTAATAATAATAAGATGTATTATTAAAATTAAAAAATAAAATAAAAAATGAATAAAAGGAAGTGGTGTTCCTTTTCTGTTTGTTCTAGGTCCTATTCTTTAAAAAGTCATGATTCTTTCAAGAGCCCTAGGAGAGACAGAGGCCCAGTTGCCAAAAATGATTTCTAAGTACGTGCCTTTATTTCCCTAGCACAATAAGGAAGCACAGAAGAGGCAGAGTCTAAGACGAGAGGAAGGAAAGACAGAGGAAAGATGTCTGCTTGTAAGTATAGCCAGTCAATAAGTCACTCAGCATTCACTGAACTTCCACAACTGTGTTAGGAAAACAGCTCTCCTATATTCAAAAGGAATACTGTTATTCACCATGCCTCTCAGTAAAATATAGATAGGACTAATGAGGATTGGAACTAAATTTTTATAATTTAGAAAGATTCTCTCACATTTCAGTGACTTTGATTTTAAGGATATTTTAGCTTAACAATGTGGCAAAGGCACTAGAAAAATAAACAATGTTTTCTATAGCCTTCTTCCTTCAATTTACGTTTCTCCAATTTATTTTTCTAACCCCCAAACCCCTCATCCTTTCACCCTACTGGTGTTAAAGCCAGGAAAAGCAAAGAATTTTAGGGCAGGCAGGCCTTTATCTCTCCAGGGTCGTGAAAACCACAGACTATTCCTTCCTCTTGCTATTCATTTGTTATTCAAGTCTCTCTTTATCACCCCTGCAGTTTCCAACTAACTTCTTCCAAACGTTTAATCTTGTTTTTATGCTATCAATTCCTTGACAAATTAAAGCTCATTCTAAACATTGGAAAAGCAACTATCAAATATTCTCACAAAATTTTAGAGCTAGAAAAGATGTTAATATCATCCTGTAAGGTCAGCAAAGTAACTTACCCAAAGTCATACTCAACCGAAGTCTGAGAGCCACTCTTACGATAAACAGTAGCCTCTAACAATACTTACGAACTGTAATAATAATCTTTTGCCTTGATGGTAAGAAAGCATGGCTATTATGACTTGTTAGTGACTCCAAAGAGCAAATTTCAGCAATGAAATTCTGTCACTCTAGTTGCATCACGGAAAATACATACCAACCAAACAAGCCCAAATGGAGGCTATCTACCTTGTATTCCTCTGTCTTCTAAATTCTAAAGTAAGTGAATGCTTACCTTTCTTATGTTCTTTCCAGAAACCTTTCAAGAAAACAAAACAATTTAAACTGTTCTTACCCACCATAATGAAAATTACTCTCAATATACCTTTTGTTTCTGAATTGGCAATAATTTTAATGACTTGTTATTGGAATTCAGGCTCATCATATGTGTCTGAAATAAATAAAAAAAATTATGTTCTAAAAGGAATAAAGACTATATATGAGATTACATATTTATGCATTCTAAACATTTAAACAGTTCAGGTAGTAATATAATCAACTCTTAATTGGATACTTCTGATGTGAGGATCAAAATAAATGTTATTGTATGTAACCTATACCTCAACAAAGCTGATTTTAAAATAATAAAAAAATGAAACCAAAACAAAAAAAAGCTTTTTTATGCATATAGCAGTATAGGAAGTACATATACACATAGACACACACAAATACATGATGAACTAAAATGCAAACTTATATCTAGACAGACAAATAGGAAAACAATTACCATATTTAGGATATCAGTAGTTTCTCCAAGGCCTCCCAAATCCACTGCTGGTGAAGAATTGTCTGTCTGTTTCTCTTTGGTCATTTTATCTTGAAAATAATCTGAATGATTAAAAGGGAAAAGAGAAAATGAGATTTCAGTGGAAAAGTGAAAGACAACTGGGCAATAAACAGAAATTATTCTGTAATATAAAGTACAGATATAATTTTACTAAAGGTCCTTTAACCTCATGTTAAGGGAATTGAACAGAATTCATTCACAATGACAATGGGTTTTAAAATCTCTTTTTGAAAGTTTACAGATTTTGATGCTGATGAGATAACTACTTTATTCATATGAACAGGGAAACACTACTTTGGGATAAATACTACCCAGGTATCAAACGTTGTGATAGGCAGTCCCCAAAAAGGACCCCAATGACCCACATCCTCCTGGTATGCATACCCTTGTGTAGTTCCCTTCCATATTTTATCAGTTTGGTCTGTATGGCCAATAAAATAAAGCAAACATAATTGTGATATTATTGTGGCTTATGTCTTGGTCCCCACACACACTCTCTCTTTTTTTCTTGGATCACTTGCTCTGGGGGAAGCCATGTTGTCAGCATCCCTAGGGAGAAGCCATATGCTGAAAAAGAGAAGCCTTCTGGCAATGACCGTGTGAGTGAACACAGAAGAGGATCCTCCAGCCCCAGTGGAGCCTTCAGATGACTGCAGCTGCATCTGAGAGTTTTACTACAACTACATGCCACACCCTGAGCCAGAACCACTCAGCTAGGCTGCTCCTGGACTCTTGACCCTCAGAAACTGAGATAATAAGTGTTTGTTGTTTTTACCTGCTAAGTTTTAGGGTCATTTGTTATCTAGCAACAGATAATGAGCACAAGCACTCAGAAACTTTCAGGGAAAACTGCCAAACTATTACATCATAAAGCAGATAACTAAGAGTTGTAAGCTCTACTTGACCTTACATTTTTCTCAATTACTATACTCCCCCGTTTAGCAGCCATATATTTATTTTAGAGGAGCTCCTTAATGAAGTCTTTGCTAAAAATGCCTGTCCACACTGATCTCTCCCTTGTAAATTCATTCAATTCAAATGAGCAAATCATCAGTTTGCATTTATTCCATGTGAGGTACTATGCAGGAGATATCAACTTAAGTGACGCTAATTCTTAATGAACTTATATTCTAGAAGGGAATATAAAATACATGATATAGAGGAATGAGAAATCACATCTGAATGTCGGGAATTAGGAAATGTTTCCCTAAGGAGGTGCAGGGAAGGATGAGTAGAATTCTGAGAGGCAGAGATGGAGGCAGATGGGGAAGAAAATGAAGCCCAGTATTAAGGGAAGCAGCAGAATAGCGTGTATTGAAGGCTTACCACGTGCTAGAAATATATTTTTTATACATGTGGGGTTAACCCCATGACAAGAGACGTAAGTATTACATTTCCATTTCACAAATGAATAAATTAAGGTTCAGTGACCCTTTTGGCACCAAGTATCAAACTCAGGTCTGTCTTGACTTCACAGGCTCTCTACTATGTTTGACTGTGAAGAGCTCAGTTTGATCAAAATCAGGGGTCAGCAAACTTTTTCGGTAAAAGGCCATACAGCAAACATTTTAGGCGTTGTGGCCATATGGTCTCTGTCCTAACTACTCAAACTGTGACTGTAGTGTGAAAGCAGCCAGAGACAATACATAAAGGAATGTGCATGACTGGGTTCCAATAAAACTTTATTTACAAAAACAGACATCTGGGCAAGATTTGGACCACGGGCCATGGTTTGCAGACCTGTAACCTAAATTAAGTTTATAAGAAAAAGACTATCGAGAGACAAAGTCAGAAAAGCAGGTGGGAGTTATATGGGGAAATTTATACTTATTTTCAAAAAATTAGGGATCCTCTGAAGACACTGGAGCAGACGGGAACTAAGCTGTACCTGAGGAAGATTAACACAGTGCTAAGCATGATAGATTGGAGAGGGCAGAGAATGGAGGTTTGGAAAACAGAAATTAGATCATTTAAGCTCATGGCCTTGCCTTATACTTGACTGAGAAAACAGAAGTCATCAGACCTGATCTGCTTTATCTTCTCATCAACGAATGTATGTATTTACCTACATTTTCCTGTTAAAATGTAGGATGCATCTTTCCTCTTACCAAAGACACTCTATATGCTAGCCCCTCCTGTCTCCTCAAGAGTTTTACACCTCTAGGTATACACTCTCATATGCTATCAACCTCTCTAGGACTACTGGGTCATGTCTATTAGCATGCAAATAAGCTCTAATATTTCCCATTGAGCCCACATCTCCCTCTAGCTGCTTGCCCACTTCTCTGCTCCTCTTCATGACCAAAATATGCAAAAGAATTATCTACACACCCTCTCTCTTCTTCACTTCCTCACTTCCCATTCACATCTCAACTCTTAACACTGGCTTCTGCCTTGATCTTCCCCTGGAACTACTCTTGTCAAAATCTCCAGTAATCCCCATGACGCCAAATCACTGGGATGCTTCTTTGAGCTCTTTTTCCTTGAACTTTGAGTAGTACTTTGAATTCATGACCCTACTCTCTCCTAATTTCCCTCCTCCTACCCTACTGGCTAACCCTGAGGAAGGCTTCTTTGCTGGCTCTTCCTTCCCTCTCCTCTAAATGTTAGATGTTCTCAGGGCTAAATCCTGGGCTCTCTTCTCTTCCTACTCTACTCTCTAATAGGTGATCTTACCAACTTCCATGGATTGTAACTATCATCTCTATGCTGATGATTTCCAAATTTATATCTCTAATGCAGACCACTCTTCTGAACTTTAAGCTTGCATTTTCAACTGTCTGCTTGATATTTCTGCTCAGATGTCTCACAGCTATCTCAAGCTCACTTTTTAATTTTTTCCCTCAAACCAGTCAACCATCTTCCTGCCTAGGGATCATCCTTGATTGTTCCCTTTCCTTCACATCTATGTGTAATCCATTAACAGAGTTAGCAAGTTCAGTTGGTTCTATGTCTAAAATGTATTTAAAATCTGCCCCTTTCTCTCCATCTCAACACTTTGGTCCATACACCATCATCTCTTGTGAAAGGCTCCTAAGTATTCTTCCTACCTCTAGTCTGGCCTCCCTACAATCCACACAGAGGCAAAGTGATCATTTTAAAATGTAAATTGGATTGGAGCACATCTCTTCACAGTTTAAAACTCTTTAATGACTTTCTATTGCACTTAAGAAAAACAAATCAGATAGGCTTCTCACAGCCTATAAAACCGTGAATAATTTTTCACTGTCTCTTTCTTCAACATCAACTTGTCCTGCCTTTTCTCTCACTCTCTAGCCGCAATGGTCTTCTTTCCTTTTCTTATAAACTGCCTCCAAGTGTTTGTCTATATTATTTTCTCTGCCTGGAATGCATGTATCCTTTCTCTTTGTGTAACTATCTTTCTTATCCTTTGTTTTAGCTTAAATGTCATCTTCTCAGCAAGGTCTTCCCTGACCTCCTTCCCTCCAAGATAAACACTGAGGTCTGCAAAGAATTTAGAAAAAGTCACATTATATGTTGGCTATAACTTTCAAATTACTTTTTATTAAGATGGTTTTAGAAGTCACAAAAAGACAGGAGACGGCTTTTCCTTTTGATCTAGCTACAAAATTCTGTATATCTTCACATTCAAATCTCTTGAAGTGGGAAACAACTTCCCCCAACCCATAAACTTCTCTTTTCCTTGTACACACTGTTGTCAGAATCTACTTTTCCTGCATACTGGGCTGAAGAGGGCCAGTGATTTTTATCTCAGAAGGAAACATACAAAAGTTGTGGGTGAGATGCAGGAAACTGGCTCATTATGAAGGTCCTGGTTGTAGATAATATTTCATTCCCATGGCCCACAATTCTTGCCTGAATTCCTGATCCTTTATTGTTACAACTTTTTGTCCAGGTTCCTAATCCCAAAGATACAAAACTTATCTGTGCCATGGTTCTTAATCTCAGATGCCCAGATAGCTTCTTAACTCCAAACCTACTGCTTATTCTGATCTCCTGGTCCTGGCTTCTTGTCCTGACCCTATCATCTGAGCACATGCCCTGCAGTAACATCTATACACTCCTAAGATACACAAATGTCTGTAAACAAAATTATTTAGAAGAGGTGTATAATAGCTAAAGAGCTGTGATTACAATTTAAAATATGAAATCTATGTCTAAGTAGGAAGTGAGGTAGAGGTGTTAATAATAACCATGACCATGTTTATTAAGGGGTTTCTAGAGGTGCTAGTCTCAATGCTAAGTATTTTATACGCTTTACCTCATTTAATTGTCACAAACATTTTCTAAAATAGGTATTATTAAACTTGTTTCAAAGATAGGGAAACTGAGTCTCAGAGAAATTAACTTTCCCAAAGTCAGTCACATAGTTAACAAATGTCAGAGCTGGCATCTGAGCTCAGACCAATTTAACTCCATATCCTGTGCTCTTAACCACTATGTTGTACTGCCTTATACATAAATGCAGAACTTCACATGGGTCCAGAAAATCTGCATTCGAGTCCTGTTCACTTTATTTATAAGCTGAGTGACCTTGGGTAAGTCTCTCAATCTCTTCAAGCCTTGATTTTCTCGTCTATAAAAATGAAGACTATAACTCCCAGCTATTTCATGGAGTTGCTTCAGGGTTTAAAGGAGATAATGTAAGAGAAGGTACTATGTATGCCATGCACTGCTCTGTAAAGATACACTGCTGGTGTTATATGGGATTTTTAGGGTCACTGATGATGCTTTCTATTTCTAAGAGTATTCCTGGATTTGAGTTCAAATGAGAGATGTCAGTCTCTAACCAGGAAGGGAACAATTTAATAAATTGGAGAAAACATCTTAAGATAAACATGAAAATAACAGGAATAAAAGGTACACTTCTCCTAAGATCAGGCAGAGTAGCAAATGTTACCTGGTTCCACTGGCTGCAAGAGGCACGCCTTTGCAGGTATCATTTTCTCTGGCAGATTTTTTGCAGACATATGGAAAGGAATTGGATGGGGGGAAACACAAACAGGTGGTACAGGAGTCCTTTCCACTGTAGATAGTGTTCGTGTCATTTGAATAGAATCTGGGGATTTCTCCTTAAAATAAACAGGTTAAATAAATTGTTAGATGATGTTATATATTTAATATTGACATAAACTACCCTGCACTTGCTAAAAATACTGAGAGAAACACTTCAAAGTCGGCTAATATCCCACAACATTCACTTTTTAATAATCCCCACAGGCTCAAAAATGTTTTGTTCTGTTGTCTCTATATCTAAGTTGCTCTAAATTGTCAATTTGGAAGCCTGTTTTTCACATGGTGGGGAAAAGTGTGTGTATTTTCTCTACCTCCCCTGATAAAAAATTACCCATGAGACACAAACAAACAACTACAAAATACCTATGGGATATTTCTCAATCATTCCATATACATTTTTTCATAATAAAAAGCTAAACTTAACCTTTACCTCAAAAGGAATAAATTTTAGAATTTTTTAAAAAAGGAATGTCTCCTTTAAAAATTATTTGGTATTTTCTTGTTTAAAAAATGTGTCATTGAAATAATAATTTTAAAATACATAATGAGAATCTCTAAATTTAACTGAGAAAAAACATTCCCTCCCTCAAACTGAAGTCCTTATTTCTTTGTTTTCCACGTTTCATTGTTTATAGTATATAGCCTTCCACTGCACATGAGGTATAACTAACAGATAAAAGCAAAGAGGTCAATCCACATACAGTTGAGAAAGCAACTCAGCATTTAACCTGAGGTGATAAGATAGAGATAAGTACCACTGTCTATAAGTGAAGGTTCGCCATAATTTGAATTTTCTAATTTGTGTGTTTAACAGCTTAACTCTGAGTTTGCTTTAAAAGTTTATAAGCCCACAACTCTAGTCATTTAGTAAATTCATGAGAAGACTCTTCCTTGATTTAAAAAGAAAATGGATGTTCTCCTTCAGTTTTCTTTGCAGTGCTAGACAGTACTATTATAGAGCATAGGCCACAACCGTACCCTCTCTCTTCGCCGCACGCGGGCTGATAAAGTTCTCTCAAGTGTGTCTCCTGAGGTCAGATCACTGATGGGTAGAGAAGCCGCTGCAGGTAAGTAAGGATCTTCTATTTCATCTAACTCAAGTTCTTCTACCACACCAAGTCGTGGAGTGGCAAAAACCAGCATGTGACAGCCACCACAAGCAACCTGTAGCATAAATCCACAGATAAATTAATCCACATCAGCTTCAAACACAAGTGGGTTTTTAACAGTTTTCAGCTACATTTATTTAGTAGACTTCCTAGACTGATAGACTGATTCTGTGTGTGTGTCTCTTTCTCCCTCTCCCTCTCTATACATAGACACACACATATACGAATTACAATATATATTCTTTAAACACTATGATTAAAACATATTATTTTTGGTATAGCACTTTTTAAAATGATCTTCTCCATGAGACTATAAGCTTAGTGAATGAGGATTTGGTCATTTTGTTCATCACTGTATGCTTTGTATTCCTCATACTCAGCCCAGTATCTCGTGCAGAGCAAGGATTCATTAAATGGATGGCAAATGAAGGACTGGAAGCGTTCCATAGTACGAGGCACTGAGTCTTTGGAGAACAAATTTCAAGTGATATTATCATCACCAAGTAAACAAAATTTTCAAGTCTATAGTTCTTAACTGGCAAAAGTGTTAGAAACAATAGAGATACAATGCCTGATGGGGCTGACACTGAAACAATACCTTCTTATCCAAATAACATTTAGCCAATAAAACATATTTTCAAAACTCTTTAGTATCACATTTTCTCTTGTACAGGATTTGAGAGTCTCAGCAGTATCTAATTCAACAAATATTTATAGACAACTACTGTGAGTAAGGCACTCTGCTGGGTGCTACAGGAGACACAAAGTTTCCAGGCAGGACGCAGTCCTGGCTCTCAAGAGACATATGAGAACGAAGCAGAAGAGTGAAGTTTAGGGAACAAAGAAAGATGTTAAAGGAAGAAAATTAGGAAAGGGACAAACTTTCAGAGTGGCATGATGTCTAACATTTGGCTCTTAGGAAACGAGTATAATTATTAGACATAGCCATAATATTCTTTCATACAAACATAAAAGTACTTATTTTCTCGGAATACTGAAAGACTCAAATATAGGAATATGAAAATGTAAACAGGGGAATGCGATGCCCTTACCAATTGAACTATAAACCTCCTAGAACTACAGCACAAAGTGGGAACGAACTGATTGGTAAAATTCTCCAGTCCAAGTCCTAATTTTCCATGTCGACCATCTCCAAAAGTATATATAAGACCTGTATCTAAAATGCAAAAAAGAAAAGAATTATTAAAGTATCACTTGTATGGATCTATTTGTAAATAGACAAATATATAACTTACACAGTAATTTTCCCCTCAAATTCTTCATTGAATATACCCTGATCCATGGATGTTTCCATACTCTCTACGGTCTCTGCAATCCCACACTGGTGGTTTGTGAAGTTGAAACGTAGTCGTGTGAGCAGTGTGTGGAACAGCAGCAATCCAGCATGAGATCTCATGATACACACATTCTTCTCAAGGGGAAGGAGATCTTTGTATTCTGACCCCTTACTTCCCAAAACAATCTACTTTCTTTTTTCCTCAGGTCATTGATTAAATCAGGGTTTCTCATCCTTGGCACTATTAACACTTGGGGCCAGATAATTCTTGGTTGTGTGGGTCTGTCCTGCGCATTGTAGAATGTTTAGCAGTATCTTTGGCCTCTACCTACTAAATACCCATAGAATCCCCTGCCTCTGCAGTTATAACAATCAAAATGTTTCCAGACACTGCGATGTGTCCCCTGGGGGGGACAAAGTCACAACTGGTGATGAGGTACTGACTTAGATCAATCCAACTGTCTCTTTTACTAATTCTGCTCCTGGGCTGTGGAATGCTGCTGAAGGAAATGCCATAAATCAACCATGCTGACTAGTCCCTATATCAATACTGGGGTCTGCTGTACACCTGGGCCCATGATCAAGATGAGTAATCTTGTTGCTTTTCTCCAGTCAACCCTTTTGCCCACAGCCATAAGAACTCCTCTGAACCTTCACTCCTCAAACCCTTCCTTCATACCCTCCATCTCAAGCTGGGTAAGTGCCACGTAAGGAGAAGTAAAGGAAAGGGTGCCAGTCTGAGTGCAGAGGAGGGGATCTCCCTCTAGTCCAGGGATTAAGGAAGGCTTTCAAACTGAAGCCTAAAGGATGATTACAGTTTAGCTACATGAAGAAGGGAGGAAAGAATTTTCCAGGCAGAGTCAGCAGTACATACAAAGGCTCTGAATCAAGAGAAAATACAGTACAGTCAAGTTGAAAGGCAACCAATGTGCCTGGAGGGCAAAGGGGAGAAAGGTATGAGATGAGTCTGAACAGGTAAGAAGGAACCACACCAGAGAGGATCCTATTAGTTCATATGAAGGATTTTTCAACTCTATCTTAATGGAAATAATAAGCTAAATGAATGGTTTTAAGTTGAGAAATGATAAGATCACATTTGGGGACTTAAGAGTTTAAGATGGCAAAGTACTGCATACTAAGGAAATCCAAGAGAATTGACTGAAAAATGATTAGAAATACTAACAATTCAGTAAAGTGGCAAGTTCAAAAATTAATATTCAAAAATAAATAGATTCCCTATAAATAAGCAATAACCAATGTTTAGACACCAAATTTAGATTCATAATTCCTACTATTAGGTATTTATTTCCTTTCTTTATACATACTCCTTATCACCTTTTCCCCTTCTTCCTCCTTCTGACCCTGATTTCTTCATCTAAAATGGTTTTTAAGGTTTGTCTTTTAACTGGATTACCTTTAACTAGAAAAAATAAACTCTGATCCAAGCTACCTGACTGTACTTCCAACCTCAGAGAGCTTTTTAAAACAAGCCACTGGCTATAATGGGAAACCGGCAAGAACTTACAGATAACTTGCTACATGCCTCTCACTAGGCCTGGAGGAAAACAAAATTCATAACATCTGTCCTCTGGAGAGAATTCATGAGAAATAAGGCAAACAAAGTTAATGTTCAATTATTTGTGCTATAACTTCTTTCATCAGGAGGAAAGGTACTATGAAAGTTTAACCAAATAATCTAACTGTATTTTTTATGATCCATAAAAAGTACATATTTACCATCAATGGCAATTTAGAGTTTGTGAAAAAATGGCAGTAAGAACAGAAAAACTGAGATTAAGACTCTGTAGTAAGGGATACATATCAACAACTCTTCTGGGACTGTGAATGAATAATAATTCTTTATAGTTCTATTTCATGCTACAAGGACATCAATACTTGAAAACGGGCAAGTAGTTCTCTCTGAAAGGTTCTTTGGTGAAAAAGGAACAGTGTATGGTAATACCTTATATTTGCTTATTCCTAGTTCCCCTAACCAGATACCATTAGAGATGAGCTACATCGTAGCAGTAGCTTTTTTAGAAAGAAGGAAAAAAAAATGTAGAAATATCAGTATCTGGATTATTTCAAAATACTATATGATTTCTGACTTTTTAATGCCTTACTTCATTTTTAGATAGAAAATATAAGCAAGAAATAGTGAAATTACAGAGCCTTTCATTTTGAAGCAATCAAAATTGTGGAGTGTATCAATTACCTACAGGTAAGTGAGTGAGTCATTTTTAGGGGAGAATCTTTATTGAGTCCTATATTGGGCCACCTAGTTTCTGAGGTTGAGAAGTAGGCCCAGAGTAGCATCTTCCTGGATAAAGGAGAAACTACAGAATGGAAGATCTAGAGGACCCAGGTATTCACTTAGTGGTCTTTGAGGTGCCTTTCTATCACTGTGGAGAAAGTAAGAAAGAGTCACTCCTGAAAACGCCTCCTGGTGGCAAAAGCATCATAAGAATTTACTCAGCTGGAATGTAGCTCTGTCAGATTGAAAAGGGAGACTGTTTTAAAGTAAGCTCTTTCTTGTAAGACTTTTCTCTCTGGCCTTAGCAAAGGTAAGAGCTTACAAAATGATACAATTTCAGAAAGATTCCAGCTTTCTGCCAAAGTATACTACTATGGTCTTACCTCTGACAGTATTGACATATTTTGAGGTTCTAAATATTTGGATCACTTACACTGATTTTAAATTGAATTAAAATATTAAAAAGGGGTTTACAACTTTATATTTTGGCATATTAGACAAGAAATTCCATTTTCTCTATTATTAATTCTTTTGCTTAATTTAGATACATTCATTCCATATAGTATTTATTTTGTAATAAAATATACCCAATTCTATAAACATATAATAGAGATTCTGATCTGTACCTGTTATTAACGCTGTGTGATTCTCTCCACAGGAAATATAGCTTATTTTCTGATCCTTAATATGCTCAATGACTGTGGGTTCTGAAGTTTCAAAAATAAAAGTGCCAAGCCCCAGCTGACCGAATTGTCCCAGCCCAAAGGTGTACACGGCGTTCTCTGCAAGGGAATGGGCAAACAGAATAGAAGCATTGTGGGGAAGCAAACGCTGTCACCTGCATATCTAGAAAAACTTGATACTCAACCTTTAAAATGAGGGTTAAGTGCCTCTGAAAGAAATACCCATGTAAGAATACCTAATATTTAGGTACACATTTCTCCAGAATGAGAGAAAAATGACAAGGCACACAATTGTAAGAATTAAGGCATGGGTCTGATTTTATCTTTTACATATAACCATAAAAGGAATTGCTAAAGACAGGTAAGTCAGTGAACTACCTAAAATATCACTCAGCTCTTTAAAAAGTATCAATTGTCATTAAGCTAATTCCTTTCACTGCCTTAAATAAAAAAAATGAATAGTGCTTCCTACAGAAAAACTCCTTACTTTTAAAAGTAGTTTAACAGAATAATTTATTTTATAGAACAATTTCAGAGGAGCATTTGCATGAGAATTAAAACCTACACTAGATATGCTAGAATTTTTACTAGGAAATGCAATAATAATGAAAGGCGGGAAAGAAGCTTTCCTCTATATTACTATTTTTTTAAATGATTCCAAAGGACCTCCAATAACTTATAAATATTAGCTCCTGTATTCTTGAGAAATGGAAAGGCACTACAACAGGATAAATGAGTAGTGATGAAGGGGTTCTTTCAGACACACAACTCTTGCTGGCCCCTGCATTAGGAAGCACAGTATTTATTAGTCTACTTCTCAATAATTGAATACATTGCCTCTCCTGCTACAGAGGGAAGAGCAAAAGCTTTGGATTCAGGCAGGAGCCCAAACCTTCACTATTAATAGTTGCGGCAAGTATGTAAGTTACTTAAATTCTCTGATGTTATAATTCCCATCTAACAGAGTTGCTGTGAAGACTAAATGAGAAAACATTCAGGCAGATTTTAAAACATAATAGAACATTCAGTTGTAAAGAACATTTTTCTAAAAAGTAATTAATCAACTCATCTTATTCTGACAATGGAGGATACTGATGAACACATAACTATCTGTTGTCATATAATTTTACATTTTTTCTGTCTAAAGAATATTTCATAAATAAGACACATAGATATTACTTCTTAAAGAAAATATGCTGTGTCAAGGATATGAAACCACACTGAGGCAATGGTAAAACAGATCCTTCTTTTGGTGTAAAAACTACCTCTCTTAGTTTAATAATCACACAGCATATCTCAAGTTCTGAATGTTCAGTCTTAACAGTAGAATGTTGAATGAATTAAAACAACTGTCTATCGCTTGCTGGCCAACAACTACTCTAAGTTTCTTGGGCTGTCTTATATTAGCCTGTGAAATTAGGCCCTTTAGGCAGCCTGAATCCTGTTACAAAAGTTTTGCTCCTTATCTTGTTAGGTTCGCTTTCAGGTGCTTAGCTAATTGGTAATAACAGCTTCTTTTTTTTAAAATGACCTAAGACTCATTTATCTAAGGACATTACACATATCAACTAATATAATTTTTCATCATATCGCCTTTTTAACATTTAACAATGCAATTCAATGTTAATAAATAATACTGTATTAGGAAAACAGATTTATTAGCTGGCGTCAGATCAATATTGCTCTAATTTCACAGAATACGTTTGATTTCACAATTATAATCTCTTGCCCCATGGAGACCTTAAGTTTGTCCAGACATAATCTGGAAAAGATAAATTCTTATTTTCCTTGGGATGCAGATTTCTTTGTGGACTCCAACTCATGACCAGACTTTCTTGCCTTTTGGTAACTGCCGTGGATGACATACAAAATTACGACTATCACTCTGCCTCAGTTAGTGTGTGCTAAGTTCTAGTTTGGCTTTTCTCAACAGCAGTCCATTGTTTCCTCAACCATCACTACAACCAGTAGTTGTATTTTCGAACGTAACACAGTCAAGTGTAAATATTATGTTTTAAATAAATTCATCAGCAATTAACTAATTTTATCTTTAAAGTATTTTAATGAATGATACCCAAACAGATTTTAAGACCAGAGTTACAGACATAAGGAAAAACAAAGCTGGGGAGGGCCTCCATAGAATCATCTAATCCAAGTCCTTTCCTTTAGTGAAGGGGATGTCTAGAACAGATGATTAGCAGATGATTAGCTATTCTTTCCTTTAAGGTCTTGCAAAGTAGTCTATAACTCTTAGGTATTCAATTTAGTACTTAGCCAAACTGATGATCAATGCACTCTTCAGGTCCATTTCTTCATCAGTTAGGACTAAACATTTAATATTTCTGTCCACACTGTGCTCCAGAACACAGGTTTCTCACCAGGGCTGGCTCATAATAAAGCTCTCACAGATCCATGGAGAAATGTGAAAAATAGGCAAAGTGGTGAATTTTCCATACAGATAAATTTATACAATTTGAAGGTGTGTCTTTTATTATAAAACCAAGAGCTTTTTAATTTTTGTTTTGAAGATGCCCCTTATTTTATGATATAATGGTGAAAACAGATTGCACTTTTTTCTGTAATGTCCATCAAATGCAAAGTGGAAGTTGGCAACCATCTTTTGGTCCTCATATTCTTTTTACAAAATTAAAGACTTAAAATATAAAAACTTTACTAGTCTGCAAGATCCCAAAGGCTGCAAAAATCTGGAGAAAACAATCAATTTCTGGCAACACAGTTTTCAATCTCAAAACAAAGTTTGCAGTAAGCTAAATGTCTATAATATTACAAGAAAATATCACTCAGGTGCATTTTTTAAGTATAATTAAAAGTATCATGGATTATCTTGGAGCCTATTTCTATGAAAATATTTTATAATGTGTAGTTGAATGACATTATTATTATATAACATTTGTGTCCTTCAAAATAACCTCCAGTCATCTAATAATTTTCTATAATCTTTGTATAAACTATAGAAAATACATAGCACATAAAGAATAAGTTGCATTTCTGCCTACAGAATGAATTTTCAGATAATTTATAAAGATTAATTTTAAAGTTTACTTCCTAGAATAAATCTTTTTGAAATTATATGAAAAATTATTTTATTAGAAGAAATTTTTAAAAATCTTAAACCTCAGAATTATTTCAAAATTTAGAGTGAAGGCTTTGAAAAAATTATTTCTAACTTCAAAAAGATTCCATCTGGAAACTGTAATTCTGGGAAACCACAGGTCAATAAGCATGACTGGGACTAGAACAAGAAGTTAAGGAAAAGTTATGTAAGAGAGGAAAATTGAAAGATAAAATATTGCTCAATCACCTTGCAAGGATTATCATCTGAGAATTGGATATTATTAAAAATTTGTCTAGAACACTTCTAGCTTTGGGTTACTAAAGATTAAGTGGTGACTTCAGAAACTGTTAATTTCTTTTTGACCAAAAAAATCATAATAATCCACTACCTAACTGCATCACCTCGACACTATTCATCTAAAATAAATCCAATGCTGAACAAATTTGGGAGCCTCAATTTAGCAAGCATATTTTCAAGTAGTAAGTGTATTGTAATATATTGACTAGAATCCTGAAAATGACATGTCATACCAAATACAAAATTCAGAAGCCAAAAGTGACATTACTATTAAGGTTCTTTCTTTTATTATCTGTAATTTAAGATCTTAACATTTTTTAATGAATTACTATGATGAAATATAAAAAATCACAAAGAAATCACCAAGTTAGACGTTGTAAATATCACAAAGAAAAAATTATCAATGACGTGTAGAAAACAGTACCAACAGGGAACTTCTCCAAAAGAAAGTATTTCAGAAAAAATGTCAATTCTAGATAAATATGAAATACATATCTATGAGGAAAACAGTTTGTTCTTGAAAATGAGCTAAAAAAATGTTATTCTCTGGCACTTGAACATGTTAAGATCACGAAAATGTCAACTACGTTAGCAAAAACAATTCAACAAGATTCATCTTTTTCCTACTTAAAAATTTCTTCCATAGGCAAGAAATGTATATTAACTACAGGAATATAAAGTGGGGTTTTTAATGGAAAAGGATGCAAGGCCAACTTATATGGCATATCTAAAACAGTCAAACTCATAGAAGCAGAGACTAGAATGGTGGTTGCCAGGGGCTGGAATGGGGGAGAGGGGAGGTGCTAATCAACAGGCAAATGTTTCAGTCACACAAGCTAAGTTCTAGAGATCTGCCACATAATAACACTGTGCCTAGAGATAACAATATTGTATTGCACACTTAAAAATCTGTTAAGAGGGTGAATCAGACGTCAAATGTTCTTACCACAATAAAAAAAAAGAATATAAAAAAAATTTTGTCAGTAGCCACCACAGGAAGCAGGAACAGAGCAGCAAGGCTCACACGTACCTGTGAGAACCACTGTATGCCCTCCACCACAAGCTACTTGGATCACCTTCTCGGGAATTCCGGGCACCAGCTGGGGAATTCTGTGATTGATCAGCAGCTTACTGGGAAGACCTAACTTCCCACTTTCGGGTTCTCCAAATGTATACAATTCTCCCTCCGCTATTGAAGGAAAAGAACAGTGATCAATGACCACATAAACAGGAACAAAATACTGGTCTTTTTGGTATATGTTCGTACATTCAATAAAAAATATAGACAATGACAACTTAATAAATGTGAGCTTTCTTGAGATATTTTTACTGTATGGTAAGGAAATAAAGCTAGATTTTCTTTTCCCCTTGATTATTCTAATCCAAAATCTTCATGAAGAATTCACAACTATCACTACTAACAGCTAAAAAATTATTTTAGCTGTCTCACAATACATAGGGAAGATGATCTTACTCCTACTTACTTTTAATAAAGAAAAATGACTAGACATTAAGCCCCCATGCAGACATGGATTTTGTCCTGCTCACTACAGTACTGCAAGAACCTAGCAGTGTGTCTAGTACATTAAACATTTAATGAATACTTGTTGAATAATTGCTTTTATGTAACTTGTTTTAGAAAACTCATTTACATGTGAAGTAAACATGCTGAGAGAGCCTTAAGATAGCAGATTTTACTCAGTTAGATGGCACTTCCTACAGAAAGATTTTATCAAGGAACTTGTGACATTTAGTCACTGCTTTGTCCATACTAACGCTATTGATTTGCTTCTGTTACTACATTTATCACCCTATGACTATGAGCTTCTTCAAAGCAGGAACTTTTTAATTCATTTCTATGAGTTCTATAAAGCAGGAACTTAAAACTTTTGTAAATATATAACCTAAAATAAAGAATGACACAGAATATATCACCATTGGTGTGAAGAAAGAGGTAACACAGCATATCTCGCTGCTTATTGTTTGCATGTCTCTAAGAGAACCATGGTTGACCGTTGACCAACCCCTGGGAATGTGGCCCTTGGAGTGTTTTTTATGTTGGTGATTGATGATTTTGTTATGCACACCTGGAACAATGAATTATGCCAGCTTCGGTTCTTACAGTGGCTTTGTACAAACATCAACATTGATGATGTACACCTGGTTTCATTGTTGAGGGACCTGAGTTTCAGTTTCTGTGACTAGTTGCTAGCTGGAGGTGTCCAGCCCCCTGCATAAAAGCCTCAGACCCTGAGGATAGAGTGGGCTTCCCTAGGCAGAGCCATTGTACACACATCCCTGTACTTCACTGCCAAAGAGAAGGCACGTCCTGTGCGGCCTCAGAAGAGGAAAGACTAGGAAGTTTATGCTGGACCTCTCTGGAAGATAAACATCATTTTCCTGTTGGTTTTGCTCTGTATCCTTTGCTGTAATAAATCTTAGCTATGAATATAACCTGCTATTGAAGTTTGAGAGTCCTTTTAGCAAATCAGAACTTAGGGAAGCTGTGGGACATCTAACACACATGGTATGTGCCACTTAAAACTTGGTCAAATACTGCAAACACAGCTGTACTGATTTTCTGAATTGATCAGCACAGAAAATAAAGTTTTCTGAACCACAGTTTTCTATGAAGTGTTTAGAAAACACTGGCACAGAAGAGGCGCTCAGTAAGTCAGCACCCTTTGCCTTTTTTCTAATGTTTCTTGACTTTCATATGAAGAGAGTTACTAAGTCCAGATGAGTCTCTTTCCACTACTGTCTGTAAATTCCTGCTACTCCTCACACCTTAACATGGGTGAACTGTATGGCATGTGAGCCATATGTCAATAAAGCTGTTTTTTAACTGTTTTTAAAAGGCATAAAAACAAAAAAGCTCAATGTAACACCTGTTGGTTAAGATGGACAATTCTACCTGTTTCTCTACCGGCTAAAGCAGAGTTTAGTCATAAAATTGATTCTAATAGTTTTATTAAAATCCAAATATAAGACAATGATTTTGCTTGAGACCTTTTTTGGTTTTTTTGTTCTTCCATTTGTGTTTTTTTCTTTTTTGTTTTATAAACAAAGTAAGCACAGACCACACCAACCCCAGCAGCCTGAAAGTTGTCAATAAGTTGGTAGGGTGCTATTGCTCCAAGGAACACAACCAACTGATCATTCATTCACCTACTCCCTCATTTGACAATACTGATTATCAGTTTGTTCAAGGCACAAAGTGATACAGGGGTGAACAATACCAGCCAAGTCGGAGTATGCCTTCTCTTGGTACCAAGCTGCTACCAATTCATTGGTAAAGCTAGGAGCACTGGAATGGGTCAATCAGCACTTTCTAAACCTGAATCTGAGGTGTACAGAATAAGGAGTAAATATATAAAACAAAGATTTACAGAGATATCTAAGAGGGGCCACAAAGCTATTTCCCCTAGGTGTTTTTACTGTTAGAAAAACCATCAATGAGATAAAAAGCCATGATCATACTTCTCCTATTGTTACTAGTGTAGATGTAGACTATAACAGTTAAGAGTACAACATTTCAAATATCTTAACTAATGTAGAAAAGGTTGCCAGTGACTCCAGGAAAGGGAGAAATTGGAGATGTTGAGAAAAGTCCCAACAAAGGAAATTATATCCCATACTGAATTCTCTTCCTTTTCCATCTAATCTTCATCCCTGTTCCCACAATTAAAGTCTATGACTTATAGAAACAGTAAAAGCAAATTAGCAGGACAAGAGTAGAGTAGGTCAAAGTACCGAGGCAAGTGGATCCAGGAGAAAGTAGCCCATAGGTCTTGTTTTTAATGCCAAAGAGTCTAAGAAGTTTGAGAACCAAAATTTAGAAGGGTTTTTAACATATAAATTTTGTTTTTCTAACAGACTTAATATTCACTAAAAAAGGTGACATGTCAGAGAGGTGGAAATTCTAAACTCTCATTGAAATGAAGAAATGTTGTGACCTAAAGCAGACCAAAATTATTTCATTACATGGACCATTATGGCATTATTTCTATAGAACTGTAGAATCTTATAACATTTTATTATTAATTTAGTAATAACTTAGAAATGGGAGATAACATGATGAATCCAAAATGTTCTGCCTTACTTGTTATAAAAGCTGAATGGTAATATCCACAAGAGACCCAGGAGATAGGTTTCCCAATGGTCACTTGATGAGGGACGCACACATTATCTATATTTTTTAAACCAATTTGTCCTTCAGAATTGTCACCCCACATAAAAAGCTCTCCATCTTCTATAAAGAAAACACAAGGAGGAAAAAAGCTTTTAAAAAGTGGCAGGGCTATCAGGTTATTATATTTCCAACAGACTATTTTTTAATTTAGAAAAACTGTGTGTCTTGAAAGAAAAGTATTACTAAGTCATTTATACCAGCTAGCTACTTAAGAGTTCAATTTCTATTATGAAATGCTTCGATAATGATAAAGGACAGAGAATACCTTGATGTAAATCACTTTAGTCATGTCCATATTTTTATCTCAATAGCAAAGACAGAATATCTTTTCCTATGATAACCTTTTCTTATTGTAATGTCTCTAAACAGAAAATGGTTTCCTCCTTTCGAGCAGGCTGCCTGCAACTGAACTGAAGGACAGCATGAGTCACACTGGACATCTCCTGGGCAAGTTCCAGGCCAAAACAGCCTAGAAGACCTTGCTCTGGGAACACCGTGGAAACGATGCTTTAAAGGAAGAAAAACATAAACGCCTCTCACTAGCTTTTTTTTGACAATTTACTCTTGAAAACACATAATTTAGCTTCAGAGAACAGGAGGTAATTAAAATATATATCATCTCAAAAATAGGCTAACTTATGTTCTTTCTGATAAGAGTTTCAATGTCAGAAAAAGTCAAATTAGGAAAAATATTTTAGAAAGAAATTATCAAGACTTATATCTTTTAATTAATTTAAAATTTTTAATCTTTGAAGTGGTTTAATGATAAGGCAAATAAAAGGAAAATTAAAAATAAGAACCCAAAGAAGGATGTGAAAATGCTAACTGTATGGCTGACAGAACTTAAGGGAGAGAGCTGTAGCTCCAACTCTGGCTCTCCCGACAGCTAGAGCAACACCGAAAGTTACACAGCTCTCCCGACTGGAACAAAGAAGCACACCAGCAGCTTCTTCAGTGAGACCAGCTTTACCTTGGCTCCAAATTTTAAAGAAATTACTGATATGGGCTTTTGATAGAGAGGGTAGAGAGATGTGAAGACCATTATAAATTATATTTTAACAACATATATCCAACAGATTGCTATGGTGTTTCTGATAGCAACTTCATTAAAGTAAGCATAACTTTCAGAACACACGGTGAAGATAATATTTAAGAATATCTAAAGGAATAGATGGACAGTGTAAGTCAGAATTTATTTAAAAATTACCTTCTAAATGTATGTTTACCTCTAACTCTAAATAAGAATAAAATTGAAGTATATGTCATGATTTAAAGTTCTATTTTAAATGTCTTCTGAAAACACATAGTCAATGAAAGAAAACTAAACATCAACGCCATCTTCAATTTCCTGAGTTGGTATACCCTAGTCTAAAGGAAAGAGATGTGTCCCAGCTTGAGATAGAGAAAAGTCTCACCAGTTAATGCAGCTGAACTACTAGATCCAGCAGAGAGCTGTTTAATCTTATGCTGGGATGTAAAAAATTTAATTCGATGAAAGGTATTTCTATCTTCATCATCGCCAAGTCCCAGCTGTCCCTCACTATTTCCTCCAGTTGCATATACTTTGCCTCCTTCTGCACACAGAAAAAAGAAAACATCAGTATACTGTAGTCACCATCTTTATGAGACAGGCCAGTGTATACCAGGTATTTCCTCTATTAACAGCGTTGAAAGTTGAAAGCTGGCATTATCCTATAATTTGATGAACAATTTCATTTCAGTGTCAAAAATAAAGCAAAACAAGCAAGGCTATACATTTTTGTGAGATTTTTATAAAACACGCTAGAGTTTAAGTAGCAATTGGAATCTACAGAATGTGTGGAATATATTTTCTTGCTCATGCAGCACTTTATTAATTCAGAGCAAAAAAGATGAAAGTAATTTCCAAATTAGTTTATAATCCAAATCAAACTATTTAAAAAGAGATGTGGTTCATTAATTTTAAATTCAATACCCATTAAAACTAAGATACAATAGGTAACTAATAAGTAAAATAAGGCAAATTCAAGAAGAATATAATTAGAAACACAAAAATTCTATGTTGTATAATTATTTTAATTTTCTAGCTAAATAGGAAGGCAGTATAGCATTGTGTTTAGGAGAGAGGACTCCAGAGCCAGACTTCCTGGGTGCAAATTCTGGCTTGCCACTTATCAGCTGTGTGACCTTGAATGATCTGTACTTAACCTCCCAGTGTCTCATTTTCCTCATCTGTAAAACAGGGATAATAATAGTGCCTACTTCATATAATTGTTATGATGATTAAATTAGTTAACATTATAAATTCTTAGAACAGCATTTGGCTCACTGTAAGCACTATATAAACATTTGTTAAGTACTTTCTTAATCAAATAAGAAGTATATCATACTTAGATAATAAACATTGCCAGTAGGCTCTAAAGTAATGAATATTTTAATAAATACACACATATTAAAAATTAGTTATATGTGTCATAAAAATGCACATGAAGTTAAAGCCTAGCTAAATTATAGGGGAAACTGAGGGCAAAATCAACTTGAATAAGTAAACACTTTAGAAAAAAATGAAACCTAATTGAGGAAACAAGACTAGCTTTCAAATGGAAGATACTACAAGCCATGAGGAATTGGACCGCACAATTTAACACATACAGAGCAAACCACAGTTGGTGGAATGCTAAAGCAGTTCACAGAACTACATGAGTAAAAAGTTGAATAGTTTTAGAACAAAAAGTAGTAAAAAGTTTAGTAAAAAGTTGAATAGAAGAAAAAGCTCCAAGGAAGAAGTAAGACACATCTTGGATCCTAAAAGAAAAGAATCTGAATACAAAGAGGAGACATTTCAGCAAGGAAAAAGTAGGAGTGAGGGCAGAAAGGAGAAGAGGAGCCCAGGCAGTGAGAACAGCCTGAAGCCAGAAGCAGCTGTGTGTGTGGCAAAGGAAGTGGGGAAGAGTGCTTGGTGGTCAGGGCCTGGATGTCTAACTGCTCCAGCACCATTTGTTGAAAAGACTACTTTTTCTCCATTGAATTGCTTTGGCAGCTGTGTCAAACAGTAGTTGGGCATACACGTGTGGGTCTACTTCTGGACTCTAGTCTGTTCCATTAGTCTTTGTCTGTCTTTTTGCTGAAGAGCACACTGTCTTGATTACTGCAGCTTTTCAGTAGGTCTTGAAATCAGACAGTACTAGTCCTCCAATTTTGTTAGTTTCACAACTGTTTTGGCTATTCTGAATCCCTTGCTTTTCCATATAATCTCTAGAATCACCTTGTCAATTTCTACACACACAAAGCCTATTTGGATTTTGATTGGAACTGTGCTAATCCACATCAATAGCCTTCTGGGGGTGGCTTCCACTTATCCTCAGAAAAGATGAGGGAAGAGTAAGATCAAGAGGTGTGAGCACAGATAAGGAGATGCTGTCCCTCAACATAATCCAAGAAAAGAAGCTTTTTCTTCAGCCATTTAACATTTGTCTGCATATTTTCAAAGGAAAACAAGTGTTCTAACCATTTACATTTTAAAAAATCCTAATCTTACCATCGCCAAGGTACTATTTCTATCAATTTGACAAAGCCGCAAATGTTAGTGGAGTGAGACCTCAGTCTTCAAATGTGGCAGAAAGTCATACAGATTGAGTACTATACCTGTTGCCACTATGGTGTGGGTCCTTCCACAGGCAACAAATTTCACTTTTTCAGGTTTTAAAGCTAAAAATATAAAATATGACAATTAAAATATTTTATGGTTATGAAAATGATAATCAGGTCAAATATTAACTAGGTGGTAGCACTGAGATTTAAATCCAGTCCTGTCAGACCTCAAAGTCAATGCTCAACTAATAAATCAAAAGTTTTCAGAACTAGTGATACATCATAAGCAGTGCAGCTTTGAGAAAAATATAGATAGTTCAGCCCCACCCCTGGAGAATCTACGTCAGTAGACCTGAAGTAAGACATAGGCATCTATATATTTTTAAAAACTCCAGAGGTAATTGATATGTGCTGAGATCCACTGCATTGTTATGCTGCCTCCTCATCAATCTGATTTTTTTCCTAGTCTGCTACTTTATGCAGTGAAACACTGTAAGGCCAGTATTCATAGGCATACATCTATGTTAAAGTTCTTCATTCATTCATTTACATATTCAGGAAACATTCACAGAACATCTCCTAAGTGCTTAGCAAAGGGGCTGCAAAGATCACTAAGACAGAGTCCCTGGTCTCAGGGATCCCATAGTCTAGACAATCCAGTTAGCTCACCTATTAGATACTGGAGAGTAAGAATCATAGGAGCTGTGAATAAACCCAAGGGATTAGTAGACTGTGCTCAATAAATACTTTTTGACCAAGTGAAATACTTCAAAAGTTCCATAACAACATCTATAATTAGCATGGACATGATAAATTACACTGAAATTCTGAGCTGAAATTAAGGGTTTGGCTAGGAAAATAAAAAAACACTGTTCTTGCTACATCCTAAGGAATCTCCATCGCCATTCAAGTTTAGTTAATGTTCATAGGTCACAACCAAACAGAAGTTTCGCACATAATAGTGAGAAAGCTTTGTAAAGGTACTGTACGTCCCATATTTTCTGGGATAGTTCTGATTTAAAATATTTTGTCCCGTTGTTCTTGTAAGAACACTAGTACTAATCAACCCCTAGTCCCAATGTTTTGTTCAGCACATCTACTCACTACATTACAGCAAGGCAAAATGTGTTTTATAAAACTAGCAACTACACAGAAGCATGATGTCCACAAGTCTAATAAATGACACAGAGCTCAAAATTCTAACATATTATATTGTTTGTTCTTTGATATACAATAACAGTAATATTTAAGAAGGTTTACAAACAGGCCAACAACAAAAAAAGGATGTCCAAGTGCAATACCATAGAACCATTACCTCCTTTGTGGTGTCTGAGTTTAAAATCAGTGTGATTTTTACTCTCTAACATAAAAGTAGTTTTGAATATCATAAACAATAGAGTTAAACGTCAATAATATTCAAGTAAATATCAGCAAATAAAGAACTGAAGGATTTATTATTTATAATATGATAATAAAGAACCACACAATTAATATAAAAGTACTTTATATAGTTTAAGTATTTAAAGTGATAAAGAAAAGACCCCAAACCTTTGATACATGTTGGCTTGCTCACAGGTGATTCTGATCCTAATCCTAACTGGCCCCAGTTGTTACTGCCAAACATGTAAAGTTTATTATTTCCTGGTGGGAAGAAAAAAATAATAAATTGAAGCATTTTCAACATAATGTGAGATGAAGCCATCACAAAGCAATAAAAAAACTATACTTAAAAGCTGTCATTGGTTTTCCATGTTGAAACAAGCTACCTTGTCCATCCATGTGTAGCCAGATTCTGTTAGGTGTAAAAAGTTTCTAAGATTATACAAGGACAGGTTTTTTTTGTTACACAGATATATTAAAATAGATTTACTCCAAGAAAGTAAGGTGTATAGAAAACAATTTATATTTACTAAGGGAACTAGTATATTTACTAAGGGAACTTAAAATTTAAGAGACTCTCTTGATAAATCAATTTGTCAAGAATTCTCTGGCAAAGTAAAGAAAACACTTTCTGTATATTTTCAACATGTTTCAAACACAGTACATCTACAATATTTAGGATTCTTTAAGTATTACTAACATCGTTTAGGATTTTAATACTAACCTGTAACAACAGCAGTATGTTCATCTCCACATGCAAGACATATAGGTATATCATTTTTAAACCAGAATTTGCTGGGAATATTTTCAGCAAATCTAGTTTTTCCAAATGTAAACACAGCACCCGAATCTGCAAATATACAACAGTTTCTATTTTACAACTTTTACCATGTTGCCTGTTACTCAAATATTTTTTCAAGTCATTTATCTATACAGATTCCATGTCTCGTGACACCTTTGTCTCTGCTCTAGCACCGTTTACGCCTTCCTTCTTCCATCTTAATTCAGTCTTACTGCTCAGACTTCTTTCTAGATTAATGAAATCTAATAAACACGTATTATTCATTTACCAGAGTAAAGTAAGAAATATATTATCACAAGGAAGGAAGTCCTTGATTATCAATAGTGCTGCTGTCACCAGGGAGACCATCTGCTCCCTTGAATGAGCTGTTAGAATCAGTGCCCACTCCCGCAGGTTAACACCTCAGGGTCTAGCCCCTGACTGAGGGCTTTACTCCACATACAGAAACAGCACAGTAGTGAGTTTCATCATTAGCACCATGAGGATGCAGGATGCGGAGACTCAACATTCTTAGATTAAGTCATTAAATACTACTTGATCTGAGTAGTATTCACAAACTGTTTTGGTCCCATACCATTTTGGAGAGATACCAAAACCCCGGCCAGTTCCCAATAACCATTTAAACTCTCCCCCCACCCCCATCACCAAACAGGAGACCAGAGCCAGCTTTTGAGGAAATCTCAAGGAGGATGATCACGTGTAAATAAAGGAATGGGTTAGGAGAAGGGAAAACACAGCAAACATAAGTATTAATAACAAATATTAAGGTGCAAAAAACTAGTCACTATGGAAAACTTTTGAGAACAATTGTGAGGCATGTCAGTTCAAACTGATAATTCAGATCCAGGAGGCCAGAAGAGGCTCTGAACTTTTCTAGAATGAATAATTTTAACTGTTTTGTCCTGCTCCTCCACAGGAAGCCTTCCCTGATAACCTCACCCCAAGCCAGTGTTTGGCGTCTCTGCTCTGGGCCCACCCCCGCCACACCTCCCCACCCCGACCCCGAATCAACTATCAACCGCATTTTCACGTTGTTTACTTTCTTATATCTCTCACTAAGCTTTGAACTCCAGGAGGCAGGAATCTAATCATGTTTGAGCCAAGAGCATGGCAGAAAACGGAACAGGTATTTCAGCGAACGCATGATTCTGCTCTAATCCACGACCGTTGGGCGAGACCCATTAGCGGGTCAGAAAATCAATTTAGTGGGTCAAGATTACCATTTCTAAAGGAACATACTATAGAAAAGATCTGAGCGCATCCCAAGTAGCTAGAGTTAGTTACTGCTTCGTGAAATGTCTATTTCTGTTACACAGTATGGAGGCGGTACCGGGTCACAATGTCAAACGTATTTCTGGAGCGCAAGGGAAAGAGTCTTAACCGTCGCTAACCGACCCTCTTCTCGCCTTTTCTGCAAGTCGGTTCCCCACCTTCTTTTACCTCACGCGCCCCGGGCACCCACTCTTTACAGCCTTCAGTACATAACTAGGGACTTCGAAGGAGGCACTTTGGGGAGTTTATAGGGAGGTAAAAACCGCCCCTGCCTTCGAGAAAGTTCATCGAAAGTTTATTTAAAATGAAGAAGAAAGGCACCCCCTCCCTTCTTGTCCCCCTTCCCCTCTCTCCCCTCCGTCTTTCGCGGGGGCGCGGCCCGAGCTCCAGCCTCAGCCCGGCGGCCGCGGCCCGAGCCTGTCCCTCGACGGGGCTGGCCCGGAGGCGGGGCCTGGCCGCCCGCCCGCCCGCGGACCCTCCCTCCCGGCCCGCCGCCACCGCCACCGCCGCGACTCACCGGGCACCACCTTCTCCTGTTCCTCCATGCCGAGGACGGCGAGGGAAACCTGCGCCTGGGCCGGGAAGACAGCCGGGTCGAATCGGCGGGGCCTAAGGCAGCGCCTCAGCCCCGACGCGGGCCGCGAAAGCCCCCTCAGCCCTCATAGCTACACTCCGGCGTCGGCGACGACCGCGTTTCAGGACGTCAACAAACGGCCGCTAGGGGCAACGGAGGCGGTGCGTTAGTGCGCGCGGGGGGGGGGGGGGGGGGGGCGGGGCGGGGCGCGCGCAGGTGGGGGGAGGGGAGGCCGGGCGGCAGGCGCGGCGCAGGCGCAGACGCAGCGAGCGGAGCGTTAGAAGCCGCGCGCCCTCTGGTGGCCCGGAGGGGAGGGGCGGCCAGGCGGGGCCGTGATGCCCCTTAATGCGCACGCGTACATTGGTGGCTGTCCCGGCCCGGCAGAGACTGGGTCCGAATAGTGACAAACGTCACAAATGCCACATACTCTGGCACTCAAGTTGTTTGGCACAGGCAAACGTAGACACACAACTGTGATAATCCTAGTAATAGTGACCATCTATAATTCTAAATGAGGTAGGTACTCTGCTAAACGTGTAAATCACATTTGTATCCGCAACATCTAAACCAACACCGGGCAATATGCTAGATGCTCATTAAATATTTATTGAATGAATGAGTCCTACTACAGCCCTGTAAGGGGAAATTATACAGGGGGAGAGCTGGAGTCCTGTTTAGCCAGTCCCGCCTGTAATCTGATCAGCCCCGCTGTGTCCTCCCACAGAAGAAGGATGAGGTATACAATCTACTACTGACAGAACATGCACAAAGAGATTCACCAACAGCAGAACATTATTGCTCTAGAATTTGCCCAGAGATGAACCCTAGTGTCCCGTGCATCAACACTTGGCAATCATAAAACAAACAGGCAAAAAGCCATCTTCTAGGATGAGTAGATTTATGTACATGTGGTAGTTGTGGGCATGGGCTCTAGAATGAAAGCTGGATTCAAGGATCCCTGAATTCCTGTGTACTAGAGCATGTTACCGACATTTTCAGGGAGTTAGCATTAAAATTTGGAGGGGAGATTAAACTATCCAATATACAAATAATCATTTGCTTACAAAACAAAGTGGGGGGTACTAAGAAAGTATCTAACAAGGAACATTGACCTGGTGTGAGGGGTTAAGAAAAGCTTATGGGGGACCCCCCCGGTGGCCCAGTGGTTGAGTTCGCGCGTTCAGCTTCTGCGCCCCGGCTTCGCTGGTTTGGATCATGGGTGTGGACATGGCGCCGCTGGGCAAGCCATGCTGTGGTAGGAGTCCCATATATAAAGTAGAGGAAGATGGGCAGAGATGTTAGCTCAGGGCCAGTCTTCTTCAGCAAAAAGAGGAGGATTGGCAGCAGATGTTAGCTCAGGGCTAATCTTCCTCAAAAAAAAAAAAAAGAAAAAAGAAAAGCTTATCAGAAGAAAGGACATTAAAGCTAAGAACTTAAGAAGGGGAAACCGGGAGGGTGAGAGAACTCTGGACAGAGAGTAGATCCTTATGAGCAAAGGCTCCTAAGGAGCTTTGCTCTTTCCAGAGCTCAAGGAGGTGACACTGGCTCATGGCAAGGTGGCAGGGTCTTGGGCCTGTCAAGGACCTGAGGTTTTATCCTGAGGACAATGGGAAGCCACTGAGACTTTTTAAGCAGTGGATTGACAGGATCAGTAATGTGTATTCCTGGAATCATTCTGCCTGGCTGCTTTGTGGAGAATAAATTGGAGCAGAGAGGAGGGTTCAGAGGCGATTGCAGAAATTCAGACAAGCAGTCACGCTGGCTTGGAATACAGTGTACTGGTACCAGAGAGGAGCGGGCAAGTCTGAAAACGTTTTAGGAGGTAGAATCAACAGCAAACAGTGTCTGACTGTTGACTCCTAGGCAGGGTAGGACTACCAAATAGCTCTTAGGGCAACATCAAAGAAGGGGTCCTAAATGATCTTCAAAAGGATTGGATATTCTTTTTAAAGCATCATTATAGTCACTATGGGAAAATCAGAATCTCTGAAGACTTACTTTAGTTGTGATATGCTTTAGTTTGTTTTTTATTTCAAAATAGAGTAAAGCACATTTTGGTGCTTAGCACACCCCAAGGTATGGTATTGATGCAGCCTACTCCCACGTTTCCGAGATAAGCCAACAGGGGGAAGGTGGCACCATTTACTGAGATGGGGAACACTGAGGAAGGAGCAGGAGAGGTTGGAGTTAGGCAGGTTGGGTGAGAGAACATGACAGTTCACCCTTGAGCAGACTAAGGCACCAAAGTGGAGGTGATGAGCTGAGCACGTAATGGGGGAGCAGAAGCCCCAGTTGGAGGCACATATTTGGAGGATGCCTAGGTCTATGTAGTGACGGTGGCCTTGGGAAAAACTACCAGGGAAAAGCCTGGAAAGTGACCATAGAATGAGCAGAAAAGAGAGGCTAGGAAGAGTCATGGCAAAGCCCAAATTTTAATGACCCAGCAACAGATGATGAAGCTGAAAAGGAGAGAGAATGACCAGAGAGAGAGAGCCTATGGAATGGGGTTTCAACAGGAGGGTGTGGTCAGTTGGGTCACGTGATACTGAGAACCGAAGTAAGTTGAAAACTAAATGCCCACTGAATTTAGCAATGAGGAGATCATTAATGGTGTTGAAAAGAGCCGTTTGGTGGAGTGATGGAGGAAGAAACAATATTGGAGTAGTTAGAGAGTGGGAGGAGCTGAGCGAAAGAAGTGAGGATGAATGCTTTACAGACAGGAGATAGAGAGGGGACAGGAGAGGAGGGGAGATAGTAGTTGGAGGACAGAAGGTGGCTGGAGGGCTTTTGTTAAGCTTGGAGAAACTTGAGGATGCCGAAGGGCAAACTGAATAGAAGGGAAGAAAGCATAGATTTAGAAGAGTGAAGGAATAATCAATAATGTTAGGGAGGAAAAAACAGCAACCAGATCTCATGTAGAGGGATTGGCCTTGGCTAGAAGGAGAGACACTCTTCTAGCATAAAAAGAAGAAAGGAAGAAAGTCTCCTTTCACAATATACTACTGATATATATGATATATCTATACACTATTGATATATATGATATAAATATATATCATATATGTAATATATGATATAAATATATATCATATATGTAATATATGATATAAATATATATCATATATGTAATATATGATATAAATATATATCATATATGTAATATATGATATAAATATATATCATATATGTAATATATGATATAAATATATATCATATATGTAATATATGATATAAATATATATCATATATGTAATATATGATAATACTATTGTCTGTCTCAGAAGGTTGTTGTGAGATAGTAGATAATGCATTAGAATCTACAGCTTGGTGACTGGAATAGAGCAGCACTCAACTGTGTTAGCTCTTGTTAATAAGGCAGAGTTGGCTATGCTCATTGTAGTAGTCAGCATAACCCAGGTTATGCTGCAACGCAAACAAGAGCCCAATTGCAGTGACTTAAGGCAAACCAGTTTCTTTCTCACTCATGCTACATGTCCAGTGTGGGTCAGTGGGGGTATCTGCTCCACCTGGTCACTCAGGGGCCCAGGCTAACTGATAGAGGTTCAACAATCTTGTAGCTACACTGTATGTGACTCCGGACCCCTTTGGTTGCTGTAGCAGGGCAAGAGAGAGAGGGGGCAGGAAATTAAATGTTTCAGGGCAGAGGCGGCACGTTTCTCTTCCTCACAACCCATTGGCCAGATCCAGTGTTCTGTGCCCCTGTGCGCTGCAGAGGGGCTGGGAAATGTGGGAGCTCCCGTGACACTCAGTGAGTAGTAAATACTTCGCCACAATCCCTGTTGCTAGATGGTTTCAGCCTGTGGTGTCCCCTCCCTCGTGTTGGAGAAGGCAGAGAGTTCTAAGGTATAATTTTATGCCTCTGAGCTTATAGTTGTGTGCTCTTTCAGTGTCCCCTTCATACATGGCCAACCACTCATATACGTCTCAGGAAATCATGTTGATATACAGAAGTCATCACCCATCTGACAACATGTGCAACTCTTGGCAATTCCCTCTATTAATTCTAGTTGTTATTCATTTCTGGAGCATTTTATGTCAACTAAAAAGAGAGGCATGTATGAACAAGGGAGACATTTGATGGATTATGCTTCCTAGCTAGTTCCTTGACAGCCTTCAACAAAACTTCCAAGGCCTGTATTTGGAGTTGCATTACAATGCAGCTGCCATCGATGTTTATTTCTCTATTTGGAATCAGATAAACAGATGTGTCTCCACTTCGAAAACTCCACTATAAAATCCCATAAATATCCAAATTCACAAATCCGATTCTAATGGCTTCGTTGATTTCTGAAATTTTGTAGTGTGCCTCCGGGATATGTGAACTGAGGATGCACAGATCCAAAGCCAGGGAGTTTTATTTATAAAGAAGAAAAAGAGGGTAGGTGGGGACCTCTGAGCTATTATCCCCAGGGAAGAAATTTTTCACCTTTCTTAATCATTTAATCCAGTATTTTTCAGTCTTTAACGTGCATACAAATCATCTAGTGGTCTTGTTAAAATTCAGATTCTGATTCTGTAGATCTAGGGTGGGACCAAGGAATTTGCATTTTCAACAAGTTCCCAGATGATGCTGATGCTACTGGTTGATGGATTACACTTTATGTAGCAAGGGCTTAACTTGTGGAAAAGCATAAGAACTAGTTTGTGGAAGGATTAAGGAAAAGGCTGGTAAATGTGATTATAGGCAATTTAATGGATAAAAGATCTAGCACTCAGAATATGTATAGAATACCAACAAATCAATAAGAAAAACACGAAAGTATAAGATAAAAAGTGGGCAAAAGGTATTGCATTCACAGAGATGAAAATCCAAAAGGCCGGTAAACATATGATGTTTAACCTCACTGGAAATAAGGAAAATGCAAAATAAGTAATGATGAGATGACAATTTATACTCGTATGATTGGCAAAAATAATAACATTAATAACTTTAAGTGTATTTGAGTATTTAGGAATACAGGAAGCTTCCTGGAGAAAGTATAAATTAGTGCAACAGTTAGAAAACAATTTGCCAAAACTACCTGTGCCCAAAGAGCCATACATGAGGATATTCATCGCAGCATTGTTTATCCTAGGAAAAAGTGGAAATAGCCTACATGTCCAGCAGTAGAGGAATGGATGGACTGTTTATTCACACAGA